ATGTGTTGAAAAAAAAAAGGTAAATCTTGTCCCCTTTCTCTGGGAGGAGGGATCCGGAGCCCGGCTGGCACAGCAGTTCCAGCACTTGTAACCACAAGCCACATCGATAAAGGTTTGTACACGGCCCATGATGACGTGCCACGCCGCTGTGTCTGGGCTCACCGGGCACATCATCGGGCTCCCCCAGAAACGCCCGCAGAGCACCAGCCTCCAAACCCCCCCGACCCACCCCAAAACCACCCGTTTTCTCTCCCTGTTGCCCACAGCCTGGCTTCGCAGAGGGTTCGGGCTCGCAGCCTTCCCAGATCCCAGCGCCAGAGGGGAGCTGGCCGGGGCAGGGCAGGGGGGGCAGAGCCCGTCCCTGGGTCTGCGCCGGCCGCCAGCGCCTCGCCAAACCCGTCCCCCTCCCAGGGGAGAGGAAGGGCCGGAGCAGAGGCTTCCCCCCCCCTCCGCCACGGCTCGTTGGGGGCCCTTCGGCTGCGAAGGGGTCCCCGTGCCCGCGGGTGCACTGCCCCACAGAGCGGCACTGCTCACCCTGAAGCCACATCTCTATTTTGCTAACACTTAACATTTTTTTTTAGAGCCCCAGCTCTAAAGTTTTCAATAGCCTCAGTCTTAAACTTTATGTCTGGCTGCGCTGGAGGGAAACGGGGAGGCCGGGGTGGCTGGTAACCTGATAGTGACGTTGGCCTCGGACCAGGGAGGCTGGATGCAAAGAGGGAGGAAGGCAGAGGGGTGCCTGGGCTGGGGTGTTATCTGAGCCCCTGCAGGAACAAGGTGTCTTTGCCATGATGCGAGCTGGCAAGAGCAAGAGAAGGGAAGGAGATCCTCCGTCAGCGCTTTGCTATGCGTGGCGGCTCCCCGTTCCCCGGGCACACGGACTCGGGGTTGCGGTGGCAGGACGCCCGTGCCCAGGGCTCTGCGGCTCCGGGGTTGCTGCACGCCGGGTCCTCGCTCCCTCTCCCAGGCCTGGAAAAATTCATTGTTCTGCTTTGGCTCAGTTACAAACGTACGCTGAAAAAGCAGAGATTCGGCGCAAGGCACCGTCACTGGGATGAGAGGCGAGCGAGGCACACACAGCAGCACCCCCATGGGTCACCCCCGTGCGCCGAGCGTCTGCAGAGAGAGGCGGCTCCGTTTAAAAGAGCTAAATATTTGTGCTCAGCCCCTGTCAGGGCCCATAAACCCTTTGGGGGCTCTGGTGCAAGTCTGGGATTTGCACCGCCTCTTACCCAGCAGATCTATGGATTTGCAAAATGACCTGGAAGTAAAGGCGCGGGTTTTCTGATATTTTTGAATAAAATTAAATAAGGACAAAAGCATTCCCTGTGATCGTGCTCATGGCACCCAGCGCTGTGACTGCAGCGCAGCTTCCCCACTGCGAAACGCATCGTTTGCCGCCAAGGGATGCAAGTTCAGGACCTTGGGCTGCAAACGGGCAGGGTTTGGGGTTTATTTTAATTCTTCCCCACGCAGGAGAGGAGCCGGCCGTTGGGGAAGGCTCAGGTGCTCCACGTTCCCAAAACCAGGCTGGAGAATCGACTGGTGAAACAGCTCTCCCACGCCACCAGCAGCACCCGGGTGTGAGGGAGGAGGGAGCCCGGACCTGAGCGCCGGCACGCAGCTCCGCGGTGACCCTGACAGCAACCCCCACCTCTGCACCTTGTCTGGCTTAAAAATCCCTCATGCCCAACCGTGGGACGGGTCCATCAGCGCGGCGCCGGGGGGGTCAGGTCTCTTCTGGGGACTTGCCCAAAGCTTTTCTACAGTGAAGCCCCTTGGGCGAAGCTCCTGGCTCCAGCTCTGCCTTCCTGCCCCGACCTCCCGCCCAGCAGGGAGTTGCTGGCCCGGAGCCCCTTGCCAACGTTTCTCCCTTTTTGACACAGAAGTTTCCATGCTGTTTTTTTTTTTTTTTTTTTTGCTTTTAGCAAATTATTTCTAAGATTGTGTCATCCTGTCACGTGTTTTAGCGGTTCGTTTCCAGTCTCACGGCTGGGACACGGCCTTGGAGAAATGACATTTCACCTGCACCACTCCCCCCCCCGGCACTAAAGCCTGGTCCCTCCGCAGGCAGAGCCGGGCTCTCCCCCCAGGCTCCCGCTCGCCGGCGCCTCGTGCCAAGCCTAACGTGGTCACTTGTCTTAAAGCGTCGAGTACAAAGCATATGCAGGACAGATGGATATGAGGTTTATAAGATAATTAAGCATGTTAATGAAGTTCATTTGCATCTAGCTCTTAAATTCCCATAAACTCCGCAAAGCTGTGAAATGAGAATTGCTGCCTGACACCACAAAGCAACGAAAATTTAGTTACCAAAGCAAAACGCTGATTAACAAGTGAGAAGGGAAGCCGGCCGCGGCCCGAGCGAGCGCCGCCCCGGCAGGTCCCCGCTGCGGCAGAGCCGGGCCGCGCGGTGCCACCCACCGGTGCTCCGGTGGGCACGGGAGTAGAACACAAACTGCTGGCGGGCTCCGGCTGGACACAAATGTTACGAATCCAGGGAAAACGAGAGGAAGGAGTTCTCGCTTCAAAGAAAGATTCAGCCCCAGAGCTGGAGGAAAAGCTTTCTGAGTGAGGAGGAAAGCCGGTCACCGGTGCGGGGAGCCGGGCTTGAGCACCCTCGCTGCCCTGGCGATGGCGCAGGGGCAGGCGGGTGGGCGTCCCCTCGGGCAGAGACGGAGCCCAGCTCCGAGGGTGGGGGGCTGAGACCCAGCGGGAGCTGGAGCAGCTCCAGGGAAGCAGGGGGGGCAGCTGGGGGATCCCCAGGGGATCCCCCCCCAATATCCCCAGAAAGGGGTCAGGAGCTGGCAGGTCTGCTCCACACCCACCTTCCACGGCATCGGTGCCGAGTGCACTCGGGTGTCCCCGCGCTGCCGAGCCCAGGCCAGCTGCGACCCGCTGGCTCCCACCTCCTGGGGAAAGGGTGAAAAATCACCTCACGGTGTGAAAAATCACCTCACAACCAGGGGAGGGCACGAGCCGGGCAGTTTCCACTCACAGCTCGCGGACGGCGAGAGGCTCCGGGTGCTACGGCAGCGTGCCCATTCACATCTCTATTACCCTGGAGTCGACGACCCCGCGCCCGGGGGCTAAGCTGGCGCTTACCTTCCAGCACCCAGGGCGATCTTGGAACACCACGAAGCAGCGAGCGGCTCCCGCCGAGCTCCCCGCGGCCGCAGCGTGGCTCAGGGCTGGGATCCCCGGCAGCACCTGCAGGTGGGAGAGACGCAACGGCCCCCAGGTCAGCCCCGGCGTCCCCCGGCGTCCAGCTCGGCCGAGGACACCGAGCTGCCCCATGGACAAACGCAGCCCGGCCTTTCGGCAACCGCTGCAAAACGTGTCCCTGGAAGATTTTTGGCCTTTTCTTACACCCCACGTCCCCACATAAACTGAACAAACATAGGGTGCATCCTTCAATATACCCAACGGGTGTACAACGCGTTCCTGAGCATGAACCAAAGCACAGAAGGAGAAGAAACTGTAGCGGGGGGCTACCTGGGGAGAAGACAACGTAGAACTGGAAAGGAAAACGGAAGACTGCTTTTATTTGAAATGCCTTGGTAAGATTTATTTAAAAATATCCCTTGGCAGTTGAATATCACCACGATCTAGAGTAGGACCCCAACCGGGTAAGAGCGGAACAGTTTTTGCCTGGAACAGAAGGTGAACGCCCAGGAACGCTCGCGCACGGCTTACACATGGCTACTGGTGTGAGGAACCCCCCGGGCGGCCTCGAGGAACACGGTGCCAGCGCCGGCCGCAGAGCCCGCCGCACCACACGTGCGTTACGCAGGTGCTCTGATACTTACCTCGGCTTGGGGGGAGAATAAAGCACCAACCGGCTAAAACACGGAGGAAAATAACAAACCGGCCCGCTCAGAGAAACCAGACTCCACCTCTCTGCAGTTCCAGGAGGGCAAAGCTCTGCTGCAAGCTGGAGGGAGAGCGGGGGAAAAGGGAAGGCGGATGTCTGACGCCTGGACCCGCGGGAAGGCTCACGGCCGCGCGGCCCCGGCGCTGGTGCGTGCGAAGAGGAGGAGAAGGGTTTGGTGCAGCAGCGGGTCTGCGGGCAGAGAGAGGAGCAGAGCGCCCGGGCACGGAGCCGGAGGAGACCTCCACATCTTCCGGGTCAAAACCTCACTTTGCAAGGGCTCGGGGATTCATTACGGTTGTTTCCCCTCCGCGCCACCCCCACCCCCCCCCCCCCCAGTGAAACCCAACGAACACACAGTGGGATGCTGAAGGGAGACCCTGAGGGGGGGCAGGGGGGTGTGACAGACAGACAGACAGACTGACTGACTTTGCTGCCGAGCCGCCTGCAGCATCCAACACCCTCAGCGCTGTCGGCCGGACAGGTTCAGGTTCTGAAAGCACGAAGGCTCCTCTTCTCCGACAGCCGCTCCTGGTCAGCCATTTCTTTCCCTTGTGGACTCTTACACCAGAATAACAATGCCTCACTCCGCTTTCCGAGCGGATTAAGAGCGTCTCAGTAAGGCACTGGTATTCCAGAATGAACCATCAATGCTCTCTGCTAAAGGAAAAAATAACTATTTAAAATTCATCCCCAATGTTGGCCAAAGCAAGCGCCCCGCGTGGAAGGGCTCTCTGCCGAGACCTCCCGCCGCAGCCGGCAGCGACGGCGGCAGAGGTCAGCCCCTTCCCAGCACTAGAGCGGTATTAAAATGAGGAAAAATTAGGGAGGAGCCGTCTTCTCAACTGGCACTGGGAACACGATGGGCATTTACCACCAACCGACACACCAAAGTGCAGTGGGTCTATGTGACAAATTCCTTTTTGCATTTAAAACGCCTTCTAAATACGCACCTAATCAAAAATGAACTCGGTGGTTTCGTGATTTATCAAAGAAATATTGTAAAAAGCCAGCTCCAAAACAAAGGCTGAAAAAACTTCTGTTCCAAACTATTATTCTTCAAAACAATGTGCAAACGGCACGGGTGCGTCTGAAGTCGTGCTGGAGCAAAAATAAAAAAGCAAACCAATTTTAAGTTGACATAGTGTATTGTGAGTTACTTTCTCAGCTTTTCTACATCTAAGATAGCGTGAAATGATCTGCCATACAGTAAAACGGTTTAATATACAATTGATTACAGAGCCGTAGTAACGAGTCGGAGATAACACGCGTTTTATCTATATACATATACAGCTTAATATTTCACAGATACAACTTTTTTCCATTTCGGTTTTGTCAACGAAGCATAGGCAGAATATTTACAGTGAAGCCGCTGCGGGGAAGCCCCGTCCCCCAGCAAAGCCCTGGCAGAAGCCGCCAGCTTCCCCCGGCGGTGGGTGTAAACAGGCCGGTTCTCTCTCTTTTTGCAAGGAGGGAGGGGAGAAGGTAGCGGGAACACGGGCTTCGCTGGGGTGGGAAGAGAAAGAAAGCAGAGACGTCACGAAGAAACAATTTCCAGCTGACCTGAAGACTTTGAAATGTTTTAACTCGCCTTTTTTTTTTTTTTTTTTCCCTTCCTTCTTTTCTTTTTTAACTGGAAACTGTTCTCAGTTAACATTTGAATTCATAACTCAATAAACGTTTCAGTCATGTTCTCGGTTAACACTCTCCCTACCCTCTCCACGTGTGCTTATGCAAGGACAGGCAGTGCTGAAGTCTCAGCTAATACTGTCGAGGCAGGTTTTAAAGCAAGCAGGGGGTGGTCGGGAGTCCGCCCCGGCTCCCGGGCCCGCACCGCTGCCTGGCTGGCAGCTACTCGGCAAACCGAAGCCAACCCTGATTTGAATTTCTCACTTGGAAAATAATTTCTCGCAGGCTGTTTGTAAGGAGGGGCCGCAGCTCCTGGCGCGCAGCGATTCGCAGGGGAAGGTGTAACACTGTCCGTCGCACTGTCTGCACCCAGGCCGGACAGACCCGGTGTGCACGTTTGTAATAACCAGCTGAAAATTTGCTCACGTGAAAACGTGAAATGAAACAGATAGGAGGAGGGAAGACGTATTTCTAAAGGTCACCGAGAGCCGTGGGGCTGACCGGGGTCCGGCTCAACCGAGCAGGGCGGCGGGACGCTGCCCCCAGAGCAATTTTCCCATCATCTCCATCCCCGCCGGCTCCATCTCAGTGCTGCACTGAAAGACCCTGGGGGTGGGAAAAGAGGCATCCAAACCCTGCCGCCAGCACGGACAACGTTTTATGCTAAATTAAAAATACTGTTCCATGGAAAGGAGCTTTTCCGAGCAACGCAATATACAAAAGCCATCACACCAGCCCTGGGGGAGCGAGGTGACTTTCCTGAGAGCACAAGGGGGGGAGCCTGTCTACCTCTTCCTCGGTTATTCGGTGAAGGTGGCCAAGGTCCTAATCATCTTTGGATATTGCCTCCTCACCAACAGGAGACACCCGTCATTGAGCACAAAAAAATTCCCAAATATTCAGCGCACACCTGAAACTGTGTTTTGTCTCTCGGCAGATGTTTGCAGTTGTTAAGGCTCTTGGCTTTAAAGAGTTTATTACTTTGGAAGTTTAAAGCTGTACTTGCAGTAGGGTAATAACAAGTCTCTGTCCCGGCACATATATATATTATTATGGAATCGTAGACTGGTTTGGGTTGGAAGGGACCTGAAAGATCGTCCAGTTCCAACCCCCTGCCACGGGCAGGGACCCCTTCCACTAGAACACGTCCAACCTGGCCTTGAACATCTCTCTCAATGCCATCTCTGCAAACTAGAAGAAATTAAATTGGGGAGAGGGTTAGTCTGGCAGCTGCGGACTCCTGAACTACTACGGGTGAAGAGAAATGTCTGACGGTGCCGGTGGGACCGCGCCGGTGGCCAAACCCTGGCTGAGGCAGCGACGCAGAGCGGAGCACTGCGACCTCCCCTCCCGTGGACCACCTCCAGGGGCAACAGCAAGATGGAGTTATACAGCTCCTATGAGGAATAAATCACCCAGCGCTGGTCTCACTCCGGTAAAGTTTCAAAGATGCTAAAGAGACATTTTCCCTCTGGGCATCCCGCAGATGTACCACACGCTGCATCCTTCCCTGTCCTGAGCTTAAATCTTTCGACAACGAATTGCTACAAGCCGTCTTTCAACTGCAAACTACTATTTAGCCAATGCATTAAGTTAGAAACATGCGAAGACATGAGTGACTAAGGGAGAAAAGATGGAAAAAAGCCGTTTTGTTTTGACTCATCCGAAGGAGAATTTGAGAGTTGAGGCTGAAATGGGGGCTGTGCGAGTGGCGGCGACACCACTGCGCGTCGCTGCTTAGCGCCCGATCACAGATTGGTCAGAGCAGCACCGGTGAGAGCCAAAACTTAAAATTTAAGTAAGCGTTCCCGGCCACGACCTTCTGCAGTTCTTCAGATTCAGCGAACGCTGCAGCTTCTGGAGATTAAAAATACGCGTTGTTGCAGTGAGCCAGGAAACAGGGAGAGAACAGAACAAACCGCGTAAAGGCTCAGACGCGAGAAGCCGACGCAGCAGCCTCGGGGCTTTTCCAGAGGTGTAAAACATGAACAACTTTACTTCCTCGACACCGATTCCCGACTTGGAGACACGCGTGTGCAGCAGCTGCTAAAACCGATGTTGGAGCGGAGTGTGTGAAAACGCCGGGCGCCTGGTCCCGCTCCTCGCCAGCCTCGGGCCGGGCAGCTTGGTTAGGCCAAAAAATGTTTAGCAGCTACAATAAAGTGGGGGGAAAAAAAGCTCTGAATATCTTCTGCTGATCTAATTTTCCCAAAATAATCTTCTTTCTCAAAAGCTAACGCTGACTCTTGAAGGTAAGTAGCAAACACTTCTGTATGCGTCGGCAGCCCAGCCGCTTATCGGGGCTGTAGACGGAAGTTTAGCTCGCCTGATACAGACTTGAAAGAGGTTTTACAGAAAAAAAATCACGCAAGTTTTCTGTAACGGAGCTTTACGGTGCATCTATAAAGCACCTCAAAACTCTTCCCCACGGTACCACTTGAACTGAGCCGCTGTTAAGACTAAATATATTTCACCCGTTTTATTTTCTACTTGAACCTCTTCAGAGCCCGACGTTCATTTTAAATGAACTCTACACAAGACAAAGATAATAAGCTCCTCGTGTGCGATTTTCACTGAAAAAACTCCTTCTCGTCACTCTGGACAGAGTTCAAAGGGCGGCACCAAAGCAGATTTTTTTAAAAATAAGCCCTTTTTAAGACTCCCTGACCCCACCACAGAACACGTGCCGCTGGGCAGCCAGGGCTCTGCTTCCCGCCCCAGAAACCTCCCCCCGCAGCAGTCGGCAAAGACGTCGCACCTGGAAGCCGCCGAGGAGCCTTCAACACAACCCGGCGCCCCGTTCCGCCTTCGCCTTCTCCTTTGCTCACTGCTTTCTGCCCCTGGGAGCGCGTGTTTGCCGCACGGGGCTCCCCCGCGCCGCCTGCGTGGCCCAGGAAGCCAGAACCCCACCGCTACGCTGCACCGCTCCTGCCGCATTTCTGCGGGTCGTGGGCTTCCACCTCGCCAGCTTCCTTTACGGTTTTGGCGTGTTTTAGCAGAAAACGGTCCCCGATTTCATAGCTCTTGGCTGAAGAAAGCTTCAGGTCATCAGAGCGCTCAAACTAAAACCCGGATGACTACAGTGTCTGCCCGAATTAGCGTGAAATTGCTTATAATTTCCAACCTTTTTACAGGACTTTGCAGAATCCTACCGCTACCGGCACTGGAGGGTATTCTCAGCAACAACGAACAGCAGTTGAGGTTTTTCCCTTTAAATGTTGCTCCCCTAGAGATCAAAACAAGGACTGCTGCAGCCTGTATAGAGAACTCAAAAGAAAAAAAAAAAAAAAAAAAACAACATTGGAATAAACAACTTTCCTGCCCAAACTGACGTTCCCCATACATCTCGCCAAGTCTCAGCACTACTCAGGATCCCAACTGGGTTTTTGCCGCTGCCTGCGCATCGAGATGGAAGCACTGCAGCACTGGGGGATCCCTGCACCTCTGCCCCCACTGTTGCTCTTGCCACATGAAAATCATTCTGTAGTTACAGTCAAACCAACCCTGCAACGTCTTCAGCATTTGGGAAAGCCGTACCAAGAAATAATTACTGCATTTTTAGCAGTTCTGTAATATTTAACTAACCCAGGACTTAAGGGAATCCCAGCAAATCCCAACACTGACAGCAAACACTGTGGGTTTTTTTTTTCTTACCCTCTTCTGCTTTTGCATGCTTGTTAACAGGGAAATACAACTTTTTTTCCACTTCTGGCGTTGATGAAAAATGTATTTTTCCACAGAATTCTTAAGTTTAACTACTGGGATGTGCCTGCTGCTCCTTCTGTATCTTCTGTCAAGCAGCTTAACAACAACACAAGGAGGAAGCTGCAGCTGTGACCAGCCAAATGGACCAAGATATCAAAGCGAACGTACTCTTCCTCTCTATATTAGGGAAGAGAGAGGCAAGCAGCAGTGAAAGCAGCATCTGAAGCCACCACCTCGCAGCAGTGGAATTCAAACGCTGCTGCGCAGTGCGGAAGACACAGCTTAGAAGAGGTGAGGAGCAGGGAGGCAAGACCCACTCACCCGTCCTGTCCAGACTGAGCAAACGACCACAGCAGGGGAGGAGGGAGAAAACAGACACAGTCTTTAAATCTGGCAAAAAATGCCAACTCAAGCTGCACAGTTAAATAGCTGATCGCATTATATCCAACCTCAGGCACTCTCAGCCTCTTGTGATATCGCAAAATAAAGACATGGAATTAGTAACTGTTCCCTTGCGACATCTTTTTTTGTTGTATTCCGAATCAAAGTTTTCAAAACAGGTTTGTTAGCAATTTAAAAATGCTAGATATCCTAAAAGCTTGACTCTTTAATCAAGAAGAAGATGATCTTCAGCTAAAAGCTGGTATGCATACAGTGTTTGGTTTATAGCTCCTTGCATTTTTGCTCCAGGCGCCTCCTTTCTGTGTTTTAGCCCTGAAGTAAGAGAATTCAAACACTTCTTTTTTTGTTTTTTGGGGAGTGAAGCCCTTGGAGGGTCCATCCTCTTCCCCCTCCCCCTTTTTGTCACATCAAAATCCTCCCACTCTTTGTATCTTGCAGAATACACTTCCAGGTACCTGGCCAACTCCTCAACTTTTACGCTGTGTCCAAACTGCGCTGGCACTAGCACAGCAAGCACAGAAGACACCTTAACAAAATGAACTTTGGTCACGGCCTCCCACAAGCACACACACGTCACGGCTGCAGAGGGGAAGGCAGAACTGCACGATGCCATTAAAAACGCCTCCAGAGTAATTTTTGCAAGTATTGGGACAGCTTTTCAAAGGCGGAAAGGGAAGGTGAAAAGGTTCAGCTCCCACGGTTTTAAACAGAAAACACCTAACTCCTTGCTCCTCGTGCCTGGGAAAATCTCACAAGCCAACCTGTACCTCAAGAGCTTAGCTTCTCGATTTCGTTACTACACTGCAATAAAGAGAAGATTTAACACCTCTGAAAGAAGACCTGCAGTCTCAGCTGTTGAATTCCTGCTACTGTCCTGGTGGCAATAAGCAAGCAGGGGTGCCACAAGTTACTCGACTTCTTACGACTCTCTTCCCCACTTCAGAGTTAGGGCAGAGTAACATCGCCGGCCGTCCCAGAGCGGGCAGCAGCCCTTGATTTCAGAGTCCACTAATGCTTCTGTCCTCAGTCATTTTATTTGCTCGGTGCCAACGAAAAAGAGGCCCTGGTGTTGGTTTTGGTTTGTTGTTTTTTTTTTTTTTTTTGTTTTTTTTTTTTTTTTTTTGTATTCTAATGTTACCAGAAACCCAGCTCCCGCAGCACCACACCACGACAGCACAGGAGTGTTATTTACTTTATAGGCTGGAGGACGAGGCTTTTGTATTTTGCAGTGCACAGCTGAACAGTGAGAAGGAAGGCGCCCTGGGCCCGGGGCCCTACACCCCAGCACCCTCTCCTCTCCGGTTTAATCACGGGCTGCAAACCTCTCACTGGGTGCAGGGCTCTTGCTGGTGGAGGTTCGGTTATGGTGCAGTGTCTCACACGCAAGAGAAGCCAGCGTGTCTCGACTGAACTCTGCCATTGCAAACAGCTGATCAATGAGAGAGAAATGCTGGGTAGAGTCTATAAAATGGGGAGAAAGAAGTGAAAGGGAGAAAGGTTTGAATGACTTTGAGACACTAATATAACACTAGACGGCATGTAAACAATTCTGGGCCATTTAACTCCTCTAACTGGAAGAAAAGGAACACTGACACAGGCTTAACTGAAACAAGAACCCTAAAAATGGTTTCAAGAATGCATTCTTCAGATGCAAGAGGTATTTGCAGAATTATACTACCTGAAAGTTGGAAGTGCAACCCACTACAGGGAGGGGCCTACTTTGAATCTACGGAGAAGGAAGGCTGCTGTAAAACTGTGCACTGATAAAAACCTTGTATTGTTGCTTGTCAGGAATAGCCACCAAACAGGCTACAGCATCTGTGGCAGAAGGGTATGGGGATGAGTATCCCCCAATTTTTCTGTGTGCTAGCAGGTTGAGCAAGTAGGATTCATTTTAAATAGCTTGCCTATCGAATGCAAGTTAGATATGTATAAACAGCAGCTTTTGTGAGAACAGTGTGCAGAGTATCGTTTAATTAACTGAGACTCAGAAATCTCCTGGATTTATGTTTGACAAAGACTTCAAGGGCTCTGCGCTGACCGTAAAGTGTAGATGGGTCTCAAGTAGCTGAACAGGAACTTCACAATGTATTTATTACTCAAACTCCAAAAATCACACAGGGAATAAGAAGAAGTATCAATATATTCTGACTTTAGTTCAGATGGAAAGAAGGAATTAAACCCCACGCCAATATGCAGACAGCACAGCACTGCATTTCACCCACTCTTCCCTGGCTAACAAACTTACTTCGGGCATAAAAATTCTTTCGTTTTTATTTGGTGTCGCAAGGAGATAGCTGAACCGCAACAGCTGAATAATCAATATTATCCAAAGCAGGACATCGAGTGTAAGTGAAGGAGGTGATGGAAGCATGCAGAGGGCAAACTGGTGTAGTCTAAGGCCCCCAGCCTGCAGCTCCCTCTGTGCGAGCAGGTCCCGGGGCTCCTGCAGGTCCCCGGTCCCAGGGACCTGCGCAGAGTCATCGGCAGGACTGGGAAATTATTGTGCTTCTCAGCTCACTAGAAAGGACGCTTTTCCCTATTCCTGCTTTCAGTGGCACGCAGGGAGCATGCTGTTCTATTCCCTGCTGCAAAAGCACAGTGTAGGGGGGGGGGATCGATCCTGAAAAAATATTGTGCAGCACCATTGATTCAGTACAGAGGGAAGCTGGGATACTGAATTGTGTTTGGTGGCTTCGGAAGTCTCACCAGCTTTGAAACAAATATTGCCTAGGTAACATCCTCACAGTGGTTGGTAGTTCAAAGAGGCTGAAACACCATCTAATTAAACCAATTAGCAATTCATCTCTCCTGATCCCTTCTGCCCACACACACAAGAACCCCCAAACCAAATAAAAACAGGAATAAAATAAATAAATAAATAACGGCATTCCCAAAACATTTATTTCGCTTCTCTCTCAAATCAGACCAGCTTAGAGATACCAACTTCACCTACCTTCACAAATTCTGCTAGCGTACGGAGTAACATGAAACTGCTTTAGACTCGTAAGACCTGAATTGTAACACTCTTGTGGTCACTCGTCTGCTTCTGGAAACCTGTCCTGAGAGCTGGTGATGTCCGAACCCTTATTCCACTCCCACATATCAGTAACTCATTGGCTATATGGAAAAGAAGTGTATCCAAAGCACACAATGGCACATTAAGGTTGAAGAAAGCATTGGTACGGGAGAATAAAACTACAGCAGTTGTTCAGCCTACTCTAACTAAATGTTGAGCCACTGCAGAACTCCTCCTCCAGCCCAACACAAAGTCAAATTGTGTCACCCCCTCGCCAAAACATTCTTTTGTGGTACGTTACTGGCACTTTATGTCAGTCTCATATGGTAGATACATGCACATTTGTCTGTGTGTTTACATACAAAAGGTCTGATAACAGTAAAACATTGTTCAGAGAGATATAAAAAACCCAAGGAGTTGCATTAGGCAAAAAAAGTGTTTTGTGAGAAACGACAATAAAAATGATATAACCACAGCTTTGCTTTTCTTTAAAATTAGATAAATACCCAAAGCTTTGATTTCACTTGGGGCCTCTGTACCTTGACAGGGAGTCCAATGGAGTATATCTGAAGGCACTTAATATCCTCTACTCAGCTGTAAGATGGTTGCACAGGGAGCTGGGGAGCTTGGGATGTGATTTGGGGCATGGAGGAGAGAGATGGATGAAAACAAGCCCTGAAGAGCTGTGATCCACACAGCACCAGGCGCTGAAATGAAAACAAACGTACAACCCAGGTGTTGAGAAGGTCTCTCTCGAAAAAGAAAACTGCCAATTGCAAGTGTCTTTGTGTTTCTATTGACAGAGCACTTCATGCAACTCTGACAGTGCATCATACACTCTTAGAGATATTTAGCTTTGTCAGTTCATTGACCTCCTCAGTTCCCGCTTCCTCACAGTCAGTCTTCCCTGCGGCTTTGCCAAACCTGCACCTCTCCTCTGCTTTCACCGCATCTTTCTGGAGCTTCTTGGCGGAAGGAAGGATGTCCTTGGTTTCTGAGTTATCTGTGCCATGGGCTATTTTATCAGAATTCTGTACAGAAGGCACCAGGTTGGCAATCTCATCCGTCGGAGATCGCCCAATGCTGCCATCCACTTGAACCCGAATGTCTGGAGATATAGACAACTGGTGATGTGGCACGATCCCGTTGTCCATGCATTTTGGGTAAAGGTAGGTCTTCATCTGACCTTTCCCCTTCACATTGACTGTCCCCCTGTAGTCAAAGTCATACCCCATCTTGTTTAGGATGCGGTAGCTCTCCTCACTCACCTGTATACGACACTCGACACCAGTGGTGTCCATCCTGCTCGCAATGTTCACAGTGTCACCCCAAATGTCGTACAACAGCTTGGTGGTGCCAATGACCCCAGCCGTGAGGGGGCCGTGGTTAAATCCGATCCTAAGTTTAAAATTAAACCACAGCATGTTGTTGTTGAAGTCATCCACCACTCGCATCATTTCTTTGGCAAATTCAAAAAGGGTCTGCAAATGGCCATGGGGATGGTTGTTGTCCTGACACTGCGAGGTGTTCAGTCCCGACGCGGCCATATAGGTTGCCCCAATTGTTTTGATTTTCTCAATGCTGCTGTAATGTGGTTTGCTCAGCAGCTCATCAAAATCCCCAATCAATTCATTCAGGACTCTGTAGCACTCTTTGCCTCCTTCGTAGTTCTCTTCATAGAACTCGCTGAAGTTCACAATACTTGCAAAGATTACTCCGCCACTGTCGTGGTTTTTGGAATAGCTCTGGGAAACCTTCAACTGCTCAGCCACATGGTACGGAATAATATTCCTCAGCAACCAGTCAGCCTGATCCCTCATGCTCTGAATTTTGGTGCGATGAAGATCAGCCTCCACATCTCCATGGTAGTGGAGACGGTAACTGACCTCAAACTCTCGATTCAGAAACCAGACCAGGAGGAGCAGAAGGAAGGAAACCAAAATCACTTCCTGACCGATCAGGTCTGCTGGTCTCTTTGTGTCATTTGGCACCGAACTGTTGCACGGACTCTTTCTGGAGCTGGAAGCAGAAGAAAGGGAAGAACAGGAAAGGTGCATTAAAAACCACAGAGTTAGGGCACTGCCATCTCTGCTCCATAGTAGAGATTCTTTGCTAGAGAGCATAGGAAGTGTACATTACATACGAAATTATAAAATCTGTTTCGATAATCTTATCTGCTGTTAAGCATGCTAAAGAATTAGTTTCATTCTTAAACTTGTGGAATACTTCCCTTAAAAGGATATCATCAGGTTCAGCAACACAGAAATTGCCCTGCCTTTACGGTAGCCCTATTTTAAGGACTTCGTCAAGGAAACAGTTATCATTATATCTAAATATGTAAGTAAAAGCACTACATGTAAATATGTACATAAAAATGCTTAACAATGCCTGTGTGTGGGTTTAGATATATATGTAGACATGTATGTCTGCATGGGGGGAGTGCATGTGTAAGTTTTGTGGAATTTGTATTGCCTCCAATATTCAAAAACATCTGCTTTATACTCCTAGGGCCTCTCCTTTGCCTCCTCACCAAAGACCAGTAACCTTTGCAGTGTGCCTTTCATGTTAACACATTAAGCTTTTGGAAGAAGATAACCCTGTACAAGACACTTCATGGAGAACTGCAAGGAAGTAGAGAATATGGAGCTCTGGGTTGACATCTTTTGTACATTACAACCGCAGAAGCTTTTTATGGTGGAGATGGAAAGTTTCTCAAAGTGCCAAGATTAAAAAAAAAAAAAAAAAATTCATGTCTCATACATTGAGAGTAATATTTCAAACCCTTTCGACAATTCGTCGACTGCCTGTGCAGAGTATGAAGCACGGATGGAGCATGGTTCCAGTGCCAAACCGCCCTCAACAGGGAGACATCTGCAGCCTACAATCTCAGCTTTCGGGAGAGATGCAAAGACACAAATTTAATCTGAGAAGACAACACCTATGCAATCCTAGAACCTAAGTCTAAACCCAGACAGATTGGCATGCAGTGACTTCTGGAGTCACTTAACTGCAATTTTTTTCTATAAAATTATGCCAAAGCTTAAGATTTTATATGAGCAGACATATGCTGAAGTTTTTCAAGTTAAGAAATGGTTTGATAAGGGAAAGCATCAGATCAACCTTTCTCTTTGAAAAACAGAAAGGCAACCCATATCTCAGTGTCTGCTTGTATTTCTCTTACGAAGGTATGTTAGCAAACAAAATTAAAACTCAAAGCACAACTGTAGCAACGGCTCAAGAAGAGAAGAGTAAATTTGTCTCTATAACACTTGAAAACATTTCTAAGTTCAATTTGTTTCTTCATTTGGGACATGCTTCCACTTCTGAAATTGCAGCAGACATTTTAGCAATTGAGCTATATTACAGACCCAGTTTATTTTTCTGAACATTTATTCTCAAATATTTGATTGACAGAGAAGCACGATGAAGCAAAAACATAGCACAGTTGTGAAACTGGTGAATGTGCACAATCTCTGATTACATTTGTATGTGCTATGGTCTTTCTATCTATTAGCTTTTATCATAGTGAGCCTATAGGAGAAAAAGTTTCTCATAAGTAAAATATTTACAATGGAGAGCTTACAGGTTGAATTTCAGATTAAAGATAAATCCACATATTACGTTGGAAGTTATTCCTTTTGTTTTCAACCATAAATATACTTCCCCCAGGAGGAGTAAAGGTATATTCATTTTACTGGTTTGATACTAAAAAAAAAAAAAAAAAAAACCCACAAGGGAAGAATGAAACGAGATTACTCCCAACTCACAGAATAGGTCCCCACAATCAGGTTTCTGTACTTGCTGGTGTGCTGCTATATTAAGACTCCTTTTTTCTTCCAACTACTTTTCTCAACACAACCTCTGTTATAAACTCACTAATTTTCTCCCTAGAAAGACAAGCCAGGGACTAAGACAAAGGCTAAGTTATTCATGACTAGAATGGCAACTATTCCTGAAATACAATCCTTGCTACCTATTTTGCAGGCGGCAAAACTTCCTCCCAGTTTGTTGGGCTTATGAAACAAAATGAGCAGAGGGTAAGTAAGAGAAAAGATCTTAGAAAATAAATAAGGCTAGAGAAGGTGAGGAATGGATCTCGGATAAGCAGCACAATTCAGGTTCTTTTCAGAAGAGTCCATTATATCTTGTGGGAAGAGACCTGCTAGAGGATCTGAGCAACGACATGTTACTCCGTTGAGAGTATGAGTTTGATCTAGATAATCTGCTCTAACATCAAACATCCCAGCCACAGGGATTTATTTAAGTCATTAAAGGCTTTTTATTTACAGTTTATTGTACAAAATACCCCTCAAAGTACTTTAATTCCTCTTAAATGAATTAGGCAAGCACCACAAATTTTACGTTACAGAAAGCGGCTTCTGTTGAACGCAAGAGCTGCCTTTTAAGAAGAAACTGCTGCCTCCCATTCACCACTCCTGAAGCGCCGGCGTACGTGAGCTCTCAGCCACCTCCTCAAGCGCTGGCCTGACCTTGTTTCCCACGTGGGCGTACAACCTGAGAGATCCGCGTGCGAAATGACTGACTCACTTGTAAGCTGACCCGATTTCATTAATAAGGTAATGGGTTAGTATCTCAAAAAAGAAGGTGCCGTATCTTTTCCAGAGCAGGCATTTTTGATCACGATGCAACGGCTGCAAGCATGAGAACACAAAGCCACGATGCCGGCCTGAAGGAGGCAGCAATTCCATCTTACTCATTTGTTAATCAAATCGCTGGATGTTGCAGTGACCAGTTACAGGACCTACAGGACTATAAATCATCTTACAGAGTCCGTTATCAAAGGTGACCTGGAGCTACCATTTAGAATAAAAATTTAAAAAACAACCCGCACACCTATAACAGCAAGAATCACACACACCCAAATCTTTTTAAGGTCTACTTTTTATGAGGTGCTGCAGGAGAAAACTAATTTTTAAAATCATTCCAATTGAAATCTTGAGCCAACAATGTTCCTTTAACTCAAACTGGTGAAGTGCTTTCTGGCACAGGCGCCTAACTATTAACTTGGCATCTTCATCCAGGCTGTGTGTTGAATATGGAACAAGTGAGAGCTCCAGAGATAGAAACTCCTTTGGCTTGATCACAAATCATAAAGATAATGGCTTTCCACTTATAAAGATTTTTGGAAAGCCATTTTGCTTCTGAGCCAGTAACCTATGTTTGGATTTGGATATCTTGCTATATTTAAAGAGGATGCATGCCTGCTAAATCTTAAAAAAGAACGCAATGGTGGAACAGTGCGGAAAAGGGAAATCAAACTGCTGCTGTCGATGAAGAACATGTAGTGGATGCGTATGAACACATCCCGCACCCCCCATCAAGCAACTTCAGTCTTCCAGCTCAAGTAGCCTATCACTGTTCCTCCTCGAGCAGTCAGAAACTGGGAAATGATACACCCTACCTGCTCTAAGAAATAAACGAAAGCAAGAAATATTTTCTGCTTGAAAGACAAAGTTTACGGTCATATCTCTTCCGTGCTGAAGAACCGGTCTGTCTGGAAAACAAGGCAAATTCCAGATTTTGATTTACTGAGCATAGCATGGACAGTCCAGAGATCAACTTCGTGCTAAGACCTCATTACCATTACTAGTATCTCCCTTCCCATGCAACATTAATAATTATCTCAATTAATTCTTGATCAAAAAAATGGAATAACCTCACTAAAGGCATGCAAAACAGGTAAGTTTGGCCCTCTCAGAACACAGGAAAAGCTTTTGTGTTGACTGGGGTGAGTGAGAAACCTTATTTATTTATTTCAATGAGAAAGGAACAGCATAAAAGTTTGTTAGGATAAGGGAGTTTCAATTTTTTTATAAGCCCATCACCAGAAAAAGGGGGAAATTCTGCTTGCACAGAACTGTAGAAATGTGGTACACAATAGTGTACATTTAAAAAGCTCTGAAAAGAAAAGCCAAACTCTGTTGCAAATTAATGGTAGAAATAGAATACGTTTAACTCCTAGTTCTCTCTCTTAACTTCCAACACTTAGAAGAATTGTGTTAATTTACGAGTTTGGGCAGCTTCAGATCAGTGGAGCCCAGACTGTTAACAAAGATCACGCTGGACTGACGCAATTCCTGCATTAAAACAGGAACAGAGACCAACTAACCTGACAAAACTGCTGCCGACACGCAGAAAGGGCAGCGCTACGGAGCATTAACTCATGCACAGTATACATGCCTTTTTTTTTCCCACCTGGAGGAGTGACAGACAAAATACAAATCTACTACATCTCATAACAAAAAGTTAAAAGTGAAGTTTAGAAATGCTTAATACGCAAGATATTTTGGTCACTGCCTTATTTGGCATTTAAATCCCAAGCTGGGATTTCCAAAGCAGGCAGAGCGCACTCCACGCCTGTTTGCAAAAACATCTACTGCATGGTTTGGTTTCTCACCCACTCTTACCTTCTCTTGTCACGAGCTAGAAGTTGTATGATATACGGATGGAAAATATTTACATGCAAACAATGCTTGATAGCTAATTTTTTGACAGATTTCTAATAGATGTTGATGTAGAAAACAGGCACTGAACGGAAGGACCGGGTTGTCAATTATTTAAGGCAGAATGAATTATTTATTAGCGATTAGCTGATCAGGAGCCTGCAAAGCTGCTGTCGGTGCTGGGCAAGATGTTTACAGTTCTGAGCAGCACAAAAGGTTCAGCGATTTCACAAACTCGTAATAAACCGCTAAGGATCCAAACTCAGGCTAATCCTAAGACATTACTTCCAGCGAGGATCATGCTTTAATATTTCATACATTGTCTCCCCAGCAAATCCCCACCAGTGTTTTAGTTTACAAAAAAATCAAGCCACCTCTGTTCTGTCTTTAACTTTCCATTCTGGATTTAGTGAACTGGAATTCTGTTATGAAAGTGAAGCTATGTTTCATGAACCAAGGCCATACAAAAAGGAAAACCCATCTAAGAAAAAAACCCAACCAGCCAAACAAAAAAAACCCCAACACTGTAATAAGCGCTGATTTCTTGGTGAATAAATATCTAACATGAAAGCACAGTTACCATCTCTCTGTACTTAAAAACCACACGTTTGCTAAACTACCATAGTATTCACGTAGATGACATCTTTTAAAAAGTAATTTTGTTTTGATACATACTCCCAGTAAAAGCAACATGCTCCTGAATACACATTTGTTTAGATGAATTACTGAGTCACATATCCACAGGGTCATTAGTTCAATTAAGTACAACATTGCCCAAGTATTGCTCCCAAATTTGTAAATAGCAAACACATACTTTTCTAATACCAAAGACCAATGAAACCACTTCAAAAACGGTATTGCAAAACTTGCAATAAAACCATGAAAAATTCAACATTGAAATAATCAGAGTGAATCTTTAATGTGTGTATTTATAAGGGGCTATTAATAACCAAGGAAAAGATTTTTGCTTGTTTGTTTAAAAGTCTCGGGGGCTAAAATTTCATTTGCTCTCAGTGATATGCCTCTTTATTCTGCCTCAGCGAGCTCAGGGTGGCCGACAGCATGCAGACTGTCACCGCCAGCACACCTCCACCCCGGTGGAGGCAGCGGGCTTCACGGCCAGCTTTTTCAGCTGAAGCTCCTCTACCGCAGGGGATTCTCACCTGGGCAGCTGTGGATAGCATCCAACTCAGAACACTTCTGAATGGTGCAAATCAACCAAGGAAATCAAATAAATAGCTCATGATGTACAGATAAATGCTTTAAAAACTGCTACTACTGGAAAAACAGATGCTATTTTATATAGCTCCTCCGTAGTTCAATTTCCTAGAAATCAAATTTGAAAAGAAAATAATATTACATAACTCAGTGACTGCAGCATCAGCTCTCTGATGATTTTTGGTCATGCCCAAGTCGTCTGTAAAGGAAATTATGTACATCAGGAGCTTAATCACAACTTGCTGAACCAATTTGTTGAATTCCCAAGTGTATTACTGTGGATGCAAAGTTCTGCTCCATATAATCGACTGAAAATGTTTCTGTCCCTAAGCATAAAGACGGTGATTTTATATCAAGCTTACCTAAAGTTCTGTGCCAAATCTACGCGAAAAGTTTCCATGGAGCTGAAATAAAAAAAGCATTGATTTCAGAGGGAAGTTAAAGCAATAAACAAAGCATCCTGCCAGAATTTCAGTTAGAATTTTAAACTTTTCTGTTATGTAGAAGACTGTAGGACCAATCATTGCATTGCACGCTTGATCAGCTTCAGACAAACTTTGAACGTGACTTATCTGCACTTTTTGCTTGGAAGAAGCAACCAGCCAGATAGAGATGCAAACACCTCTAAAGCGTAACCGATGGTAACGCAGTCAAGGTGATGCCTGGAACAAGTAAGTGTTAAACAATCCAATCCTGCCTTGGAAACATGGAAAAGCAATTGCAGAACTCTAAAACCCAGTTATGCCTTCATCTTATCTGACCACAGAATACAAAGATTTTTTTAAAAAAAAAAAAGAACAAACCAAAAAACCAAATCCCCAAACCTCCCCAAAACAAACAACCCCAAACAAATACAGAGCCTATTTTGGAAAATGCCATTACAGAAAATAAGTAGTTCAAGGAATTTTTGTGTTTACTTGCAATACAATTTCTCTACCACAATCAAGTATTACAACTCCTAGGATTAGTTACTTTTGGAAAAAGAAGTAGAGAAATCTGCAGACTGGATTTGCCTGTGATGCATACAAAGCTGCAACTACCACTGTGACAAGAAAATATTATCCAGACTAATGAGAGGGACAGAAAAGTTATTATTAACAAGCAAGTTATGGTCTCACTAACTCAACCCATATTATTTTTGTTCAGGATCAATTCTCTAAATCAGTTTTTCAGATCTGCAGTTGAACATCTCTGTCTATTACTTCAAGTATTTATTTTTGAAAGATGAAATAACAACATATTCTATGATTTCTGCACTTTGCCCATTAATGGCCACCGCTATTCAAACCACAGGCAAAAATATGCTACCATTAGCAAAATTTCTTAAGGTAATGTTTCTTTAACATTCATACCACCCATTTAGTAGTCAGCAAAAGTTGATGCTATGAACTGATACTGCTCTGAACGGCTCGGAACAGCCTTTCCCAGTCCCTTAATAAAGTTGAAAGGCAGGGAAAATCTCAAGTTTTGTGTCTGTCTTTCTGCATAAAATCTTAAAACAGAGCTTATGCACAAGCTGACTTAGTAAACACGCATATAATTTGTTCCAAAATTTAGTCCTGGGAGTTACAATTATGGCACCAAACCTTCTGACTTTCTTCTGAGACAAAATGCCATCGACACGGACACGCAGAGCTCTGTTCAAGCAGTCACTCGGGGAACGTCAACCACTACGATACCCTTTTTATGCTTTGGCTTGACTGCCTGCCTGCCTTTGTACCAAGACTTTTGGTACTACAAATACATTACATGACCCTCTTTTAAAAGGCTCTGCCATGAACCAGCCCCTAGCTATGCCCCATCAGCTCCTTGCAGACATGCTAGCACACGTGTAGCTTAATGAGCTGCGAGAACCTCTGCTTGGGGGGAATTACAGCAGAGTAGCCAAGGAGTTGAGAAATGGCATCAAGGGTTTGCTCTTCACTAACGTCCCTAAAAAACCAAACCTGGGGGCTCACTTCTCGGTGAAGCTGGTGGTTGGACAGTGAAAGCATCAGTGTTACAAAGGCAAAAGTCAATGGGTGGAAGGTCAGCTTTCTCACTGGGAGTTGGTCACTTAGTGTGCTGGAGGAGAGATGACGTTAAGTAAGCTGGACAGCTAAAAGCAAAGGGACAAATCAAAGATGGGAAAGGGGAGGCATCCAGAAACGAAACACTACCTCCCCTCCACTGAAGGTAGGAAGAGCTGTCCTGCACTCCTTGCCCGAGTGCTCTGTAGACAGACATGAAAGGGATTTTTCTTTAGTCTAATATGGTCTGGAAGCCTTTTCTTGACTCCAGTTCCAAAAGTTACCTTTTTTCCAAGGAAATGCTTTCTTCCTACAACCCTTATGGACACTTCTAAATTACAGATGTGAAGAGGTGTTGAGGGGTGACATATTCTCCTTGTCTTTTTTAATACAAATTAGATCAAGATTAAAAGAGACCATTGAAGATACTTGAGGAGGGGATTAAAAGCTAACTACTCACACAAAACATGTATCTGCAAACTCTTTGGTTTGTTTGGGGCTTTTTCATGTTTTTCACCATATGATTCAGCACGCCTCTGAATAAGAGATAGGAACTAGAATAATCTAGCATAAGAAGTCTTTGCAAAATCCACACTACGGTAAGAGTGCCAAAGGCTATGGTATTTCTTAAGCCACTGAGAAGTGCAAGTTGATTATAAAATGTTGACAATAGGAGTGGATAGCAGGAAGGACTCCCTTGACTTTCTTGGCAAGAAAATAGGAGGTAAAAATTGCAAGCAAGTTCCCCTGTGGGGAAAAGTGCTTATCAGAGGAAAAAACATGAAAAGCCTTAAGGTTATTGCACAGAAACTCCATTAACCTGATTCCTCTGGTTACTGTCTTGAGCATCCCCTGAAAAAGCAAGAAAGTGAGAAGGGAAACAGGATATTAGAATCCTATTAAATCTATGCACCAGCCTTCCACAGTGAAAAACTCATTGAGGAAGGAAGTGGAAGACAGACACATGGTTCCTAAGGGCAAAAATAAATCCAGAGGGGTGGGGTGGGGGGAACAACTGGGCACTCTGGCACCACCAGATGCCTCACAAATTCCTTAATATAACAGATTTGAAATCAAGTGGTGAAAGGCAATTCTATGGGTCTGATGTGTTTTTAGGGCACACTTATCAGTTGAGGACAGAGTGCAATTTCAAAACAGATTACAGGAAAGGGCCTCTCAGATGTCCTCAAATCCTTCCAAAAGAATGCAGAACTCTTCCCAAATAAAACTATTAAGTTTGAGATGCTGGAGAAAGTCGTGGCAGATACAAAATCCCATGCATTAGACCCTCACTTCACTGATGGAGAAAATCAAATTTATTCATTTAAACCACAGTCTATGAGTGCTAAAGTGTGATGCTCACCTGTCTGGACACAAGGAGACGTAGAGCAGAATGAGAAGCACTGCTCCTACTACGGTTGCCAACAGAGACCTCATCCAGGAGCTAAGCTGGCAGAAGTTACAGTACTGCACAATGGTGATCAGAATCGCGCAACACATAAACATGGTGTACTGCAATAAAGAGAGAGAGCGCGCGTTAGCTTCTTCCTCCTGACTGGAGCCCTTCTGCGCATAAATGCCAGCGTAAATTAAAGAATGGGTGATGTGAAAGAGAAGGATCTCTTTTTGTTGGTGTTATATACACAGTAAGTAATCCCTCACAGTGCCTGTATCAGGAGACAGCACTTGAAGATGGAGGTCTTCCCTTCAAAGAGCAGGAAAACTTTTAGCACAGGTAGTTTGTCGCAATTTTCCCTAGATGTTTTGTGTTATTGCATTACACAACCGTTACTTCAGTAACTTTCAATACCTTCAGCTTACCTTTGCAAAAAGCTCAGTGCCTCTTCTTCTTAACGAAAAAAAAAAAAAAAAAAAAAGAGTAAACATTCATGGTAACCTCCTCTCACTCGCTGAGGTTAGACCCTGCTTGTTTTAAACTGAATGTCAACATTACACTGCATTGAAAATGTGGAACACATTCACCCTCAGAAACTTCACCCAATCACTTACTTTTAAAAATGCTTATTAAAGGACATTATCATACTGGCCAGCAACAAGTGAATTAAAATAAAAAAAAAATATCTGGCTTGATAACAAAAGGCAGGTATCAGTCATTGTTAACTGATGCCTGGTAACACAACCACTTGTGCTGATTTGAAAGGACAATTTCAGATTTTCTGTTCTGTTTTTTTATCTCAAAAAAACCTTCCCTTTCCACATCTTCACTGGATAAAGAAAAGGAAATGCAGGACAGATATATTGCCCAGAATGTCTTAATTTCCCTGAGATACAATCTTACAGTGGTCAAAATTCTCAAGCTGATGCGCAAATTTTGATTTTACCAAGAATATTTATGACCATCCAAGCTAAAACAGAGCCTCCATGACTGCATTATGGAGTTCTGTTCTAGCTACATACTGCATTTCACAGTATCAAATGATCATTCTCTCTCATTTTAAATTTCCTTTGCAGCTGAAGTGCAGAGACTGCAGATTAGAAATACTGTAGCATAACAAATAAGCATGTGATTCAGAAGTAGACACAGTGTATGGGAAAAAAATCTTACATAATTTACCATTTTTAAACCACAAGCACAGTTGTTTTTTTTAAACGACTCAAAAATGGATAAAAGGAATTTCACAAGTGTCCATTAAAAAACACAATTTAAACTTACTTTTTTCCCCCATTTCAGGTCTCCTAAAGTGGCAGAGCACTGGTTCTCACTCCAAGTGATGCCCCAGCATGAAGCCAGCCTATAGAGGGTCAGTAAGTGCTGTGTTTTACTATGTATGCATGGCTTTGGAAAGTTTTTTTTTTTTCATTGTTGTTTTTGTTAATTTTGATTTTTATTATTTTATATCCAGGGAGGGTATAAAATGCTATGAGTAAAAAAAAACTTTGCAAAACCATGTCATAGTAAAATATGACACTTACCTGACCCTCTATAGATTAACTCCATTTCCTAGAGCTTCATGATTGTTGAAACAGTGAGCACAAGACGAGTTGGGACATCTCTTGGAGAGTGAGCCAACAACCCCACGACTCTGGAGGACCTGCAAGAGGAAAGAAAGCAAAGTTCATTCTCAGTTTGGTGATGAACACCACCGTCTTACTGCTGCTGCCTCAAGCATTTAGAATAACAACCTGATCTGAACAGGTATCGAGAATACCCTTATAAAATGATTCTTCCAACATTAGTTTTAAACGTTTAGAGAGACGATCAAGGATGGTGATGAATGGGGTGATATAAAAAAAAAAAATCAATGGACAGATTTGAGAGATTTTGAGGTTTTCAGCTCCCTTCAGCATGAGGAAAAAACATTCCTACAATTAGTTTACTAGTAGTCATGAGAGAAGACCACCATCATTAAGCTGGAAAAAAAAAAAAAAATTAACAGCTTAAAAATAGTTAACTAACATTCACAAAAGGAAAAAGCTGCAGAATGGTTTTAAACATGGGATGAGGAAGAGTATCAAACACACTCTTCTGTGTCTGTGATAACCATGGAATATGAGTTTAAATCAGGAAGGACCTAAAAATGTCTGGTCCATACGTTCCTACGGAACAAACACTTCCCAACACCCAGTAATAAACTGTGATAGGAAGACTGAAGAGGATCTGGTCGTTACCTACACCCAGGGCCCTGAAATAGCAAGAGATTTGCGAAACAGAATTCCCTGAAAATTCTGGTAAGGCAGGATCATACAGTGTACTACCTAAGAGAAACTCACCGAGGAACAAACTTTCATCCCTGATTTCAGTCAATTTTATTCACAGTTTTTAAGCATTGTTTCTATGCTACAGTTAGCTTTTCAATTAAACTATTCTTTTCCCTCCTCAATATTTAACCCCTTGTTCCCCCCTTCTGAATGTTTTCATTAAAGGAGACACCAAATCCCCTGTGGACCTTTCTGTGCCCGGGCTAAACATGCCAATTTCTTTCCAAGCCTTCTGAGCAGACAGCTATTGCATTCCTTTAACCGCTCCCGCAGCCCCTGCACAGTAATCATTTCTGTGGACTGAGAGCTCTCTCCTTTGACTTCCTCTATCCAACTCTGCAAAGAAAAAACATCCACCGCTAATACTCTTCTTGCTGTTGAGATTCACTAATGTGCATGCAAAGTTTTGAAGTACACACAGCATCTCCAGCGACAAACTCTAAAACAAAACCAGAATGAATGCAATGAAAAGCCTGAGATACACTACTTGCATTATCTAGAACAAACACCTGCAGAAGTGTTTGGTCTAAGAAAAAAAAAAAATGCATGTATGTAGGCAGGCATTTATAGGTACCCCCCTCCTCTTCTGTATGAGAGTTTTCAAATAAGCAAGTGACTGTATTTACATAACAAACTAGGCATTTCATCATACACAAAAGCCCTATCCCTCTAAGGGATCTGTATCAAACTGATGTAAAGCACAAGGGAGGTGAAGGAAAATGGCAGGCAAGCAACAAGCTTTGTTAAGCCAAAATGTCAGATTATGAAACAGAGTTCGACAACTTACATGTATATTTGTTTCAAAATCAGAGGTGAAGTGTGAAAAAACTGCAAGAGCTGGGAGAGAAACCAGGATTGCACCAAAAAAATGTCGAGGCAGCCAGCCAGATATCACCTCCAGGAGACGCTTGGTGCAAGTCATCACCTCCTCCAGAAAGAACGCCATCCTGGAACAAACAACATCACAGACCGAGGCATTAATTTCAGTGCATCGCTTCATACCTCTGATTTACCTGGAACAGTATAACTTCAAATCCTTCACTTAAGACTGTATGAGCAGTTACAGTACATCACGTGCCACGGCACCTGTTGGTAATCTCAGGAACTAATCCACCTTTGCTGAAAGACGGCTGGTTGGTTGCTCTGGCAAGGGGTGTCAGCAAAGGGAGGGAGAGCAAGTGGGATGGGGCGCTTTGAGAAAACAAACCGAAATCCAAATCTCCCTTCTGTGGAAGGTATGCGTAGGGAAGACTTCTCTCCATTCATAAATACGTAGCCTTAGAGGAGGTGGGGAGAAGGGAAGCTTTTACAAGTTGAAAAAAATCACTGAAAGTAATGCCAGAAGTGTTTGAAAAGCAGGGCTGCGCACCCTGCGAAGCGATCAGCTACCCAGCGGCCGTGCAAATCCGCGCCGTCTCAACCCCACACTGCAACCGCAGCCAGCTCTCCCAGTGACAACCACCCCGACAGAAGCGCCCGTCTGCAACCGGCCTCCGCTCCCCCTCATTAGGGGAAGGGGGAAGAAGAGTGTGGGGAGAGCTGGCACCCTCGGCAGGCAGCAGAGCCCGAGAAGCAGTTGTGAGGAGGAGCACCTCGGCGGCCAGCTGGCGCACGCTCCTCCGCTCGCCGGGTGGCATCAGCCCCGGCAGCCCCGGCGGCTCCGCGCGAGGCGGGCGGGAAGGAACGGCTCTTGCCTCAAGCTGCCGAGCAAACGACGGCCCAAACCTGTCAAGTGCTGAAGGAGCCAGCTGGAAGGGCTCTGCAGAGCAGCTTACTTCTTAAACGAGAGCATTTCTAATTGTTAAAATGAATAAGGAAAGGTGAAAGAATGCTTAATGCTCGAGGACCTTGCAGAGGAAACTATTCTTTATCTACAGAAACAAATCCTCAGGATAACTTCCTTCTTAAAGCTCAAAAGCATTAGTCACTCTAGAAAAATTGCAACTGCTGTTCAAGTTGCTAATTATTCTTATGAAGACAGGAAAAGGTAACATAGTACAGTTCGCTTCATTCAAATTAATCCATGCATGTGTATGTATGTGATGATCAGAATCAGCCTAGGCAGGTAACTGCTGTCCTGACAGTGGACTACAGTAGAGCCCAAACTGTAAATAATTATCACTTTTTTTGAACAGAGGTCCTCACAGCTAAAAAAAGGTTGAAATACAACATACACCAAATATGTAATTCACAAAGTTACAGAAATTAATCCATGTTACTTTAAAAAAGAAAAGCTATCCACTGTTTTTTTTAACACTGTTGTCTAAAATAAAAGGTGTTAGGCTGGATAAAAGCCTTATACAAAGCAGGATAAATTTAAAGCTCTGTAGGTGAACTTTGACTCGTATTGTTTATGAATGGCATTTTAATTCTCTAGTCTAGACTTCTGTGGACTTTGTGACCTCACGCATTTTTTTTGGAAGCATCAAGAGTTCTTTTCTAATTTACTGTATTAAAATCTTACTTGAATGCATAGAAAAAGATAAATTTGGTGTAATGGGATGGAAGATGCTGTAATACATCAGGAGCCCACGAGAGGGTGCTCACAGATTTGTTACTTCCTCGTTTAACGGACTTCCATTTACACCAAAAAATTACAGCTATGTTCCATCATAAAAAAGCATTTCCAACAAAGCACAGAAACGAAAAAATTGCATAGAAAGAAGAGTAATTCCTTTTTTAAAAAAAAAGCTCTGCAGAGTCAGAATTGGGTTTTCTGAAGCGTTATATACTGTCCTACCTCAGTTGCCTCTAGCATCAGTGACAGAACTATCCCTGCCTTCACCGGCAGCCAAGTACGCCCAGTACCGAGTACTTCTGAGAATGCCGCCCAAGTCCACGCCTCTAAAAACCAAGTTCAATTCTCCCAAAGCCTACGAACTAGGATGAACATTTACAAGGCTGAACCGCGAGAAAGGAAGCCGAGAGGGGCTGCAGGTCGGCGCAGCCCCCGGGCCAGCCTCCATCCCCGCGCTGCCGCCGGGAGAAGCCGGTCTCGAAGGCGGCTCGGCGGCACCGCTGCCCACGCTCCGTGCCATCCTCCGTGCCATCCTCCGTGCCATCCTCCGTGTGTGTCACGCTGCCCCGCCGGCTGGCACAGACACCAGCTCGGCGGCACGCAAACTGCGGCAGATACCCAGTGCAGCTCATGTCTCTCACCCCAACCCACACAACAGCGACTCCATGGTGCAGAAAGCTTTTTTTAATTTTTTTTTTTTTTTTTTTTTCTTTTGCGCCAAGCCTCCATGCCAGGACAAATTCTTGTGGGAACTATAGCAACAAATCCATCAGCGAACCCGATCAGTTAATCCTGCAATGAGGACACTTCTTTATTTAGGCAGCTGTGTGTTTCAAAAAAGCTAGAGCAAATTCCAGGACAACGCCACATTTCTCATGATAATGTTTACCTTCTTGCATTGATTTCTTTTTTTTTTTTTTTTTCCAGTCCGGTATTTATCGCAATGCTCTGCACTCTGGAATTAAAAGGATTGAAATCTCAACCTTCACAAAGCGGTGAAAGCCTGCGAATACAGCACAACCCTCCCATCGCAGGAAGTACCAAGTGCATTAAATCCAGACAGCAATGAGAGCTGCAGACAGATTTAATGGCTACAGGGCAGTATCAGTAAATAATGCAGTGTCAGTGGGTAGCTCAACAGGGCTTAAATGCTAAAATATCTGAGATGTTTACACGAGCTGGAGTTCAAATTAGTAACTTTGACATAAATGATTAATGGGTAATGGAGAATGCTACCATCATTTCTGTATTTACTGGCAGTTTAAAATCAATTCCCATAGTTCAAATCAAAAGCTTCTGGCATAGCAGCAATTCGGTGGGATATTAAATACCAAAGTCACAGATGTTAGAAATAAATAAAGGCAAACAGAATACATTGTTTTCCCCTGCATCAATACTCTGTATCAGGCACGATGTTAACAGAACCAGTTCATTAAGCTCTAGTTGCAGAAAACTATTTTTGTTCCTGGGTGCAGAAAACAGTTTCTGTTCTGGTCATCAGGAATTTAAGTAGATCCAACTGGTTGGCCACAGGATCTCTGCTGTGGACAGACCATAGGCAGGTGAAGTACCAGGCAAAAGGCAGTTTATGCTCAGTCTGACAACAGCAGTTCCCCATTCTACTGTTTTGATTGTACTTGCTTTCTTCATCCAGAAGATTTTTTTTTTTTGCTCTCTAGAAAGGTCTTTCTAAAATCATGAATCAACCTATCAAGTGCTCCCACCATCCACTCTTTTGAAATGGGTTGAAATATCTATTATGGCCTCATCTCTTCACCCAAAAGTCTTCACTGAAGGATGCTATCAAAAGAAAGATTTTCTTAAAACCAGACATATTTATAACAAATTTTACTTGAGAGCAAGAACTAGATGGAAAAAGTATCTAGCTAATAAAAATCCTGTATTTACAGCTAAAATAGTGGGCAGGTATCTTCTACCTATATTCCTGCAGAAGCACTCCTGAGAATCCCAACTGAAATCTCACACACTGTCATACGCTCAGTAACATTTCCCAAGATATTTTTATAAAATCGCAGAACTTTAGGACCTCTTAGACTTCAGCTGTGCTCATGAAAGTCAAAGTTGTCACACTTCAAGTGGGAAGACGGACTTTCTTTGCAATGCATTTACAGAACAGGAGATGACATCTTCCACATGCTTACAGATGAAGCACCATTTTTTGTGTGCAGCTTTATACAATTAATTTTAGAGTGGCACTTGTGATAGCAGTGGGATCCTCATCTATAGGTACTCCAAGAATTTATTATCAGACACTTCAGAGGAATCAAAACATCCTTCTCCCTTGTAAGCTTAGCTCCACGAGGACTTCTGCTCTTCTAGAACTTCAAGGTTTTAACTCGTTTCTCACTGCACAGGCAGTGAGAGTGCTCTCCTCTCCCGCTCCTGCCGCTGGACTGAAGGTTGCAGCTGCAAGAGCTGTAGCGAGTACTTCCCAGGCCAAGTCCTGGATTCAATTAGAGTCAGACTGATTTAAAGGCAGGGTGTTTCGCATCACGATAATGAAAATACAATGAGAAACTTAGGCAAGAATTTTCTGGTCCTAAAATAATCCCTTTTCCTGAAATTCTGGGATTGTGCCCAGCATTGTAGTCCAATCTCCTGCCTTAAGATATCTCGGTGGTATTCTGTGATTGTCATTTGGGATGACATTTCTGCACAGGAAGTTCTGCACCGTTTCTGTGCACAACGAGTGGTCAGAGTGAGCAGTCCTCACTTTGAAGAGGGAAAGGATGATTTTCTTCTTTCTGCTCAAGGGAACTGTACAGGAGTGTGTGCCTCAGGTTGTGGAGACCAAAGTGGCCCAAAAGCAAATTTTATACATTTAAAACAAAAAAGCCCCTCCAAGCCAAAACAGATACCTTTTTCCTACAAAAGTCACACCCCCAGCCCCCTCCCCAGCATGCCACTGCCATTACATTTAAAACTGAAAACTATCAGAAAGCTTCTGAGATTTTTCATCTACAAAGACTGCTCTTTTTTGGTGTATAGTATGAGGCTATTTTCAAGAAGGTACCCTGGGTAAGATCTACTCAGATCGGAGATGATCCTGTTCTGTACTATAGAGGATTTTCTGAAGTGTTACCTTAGATGTAATGATCAGAGTTAAGGCACATACAAATTACGTCTCAGTAGTGGAGGAAAGACTGTGAACGCGAGCCCATGGTAGCAAGTTCCTGAGAAAGAATTGCTTATAACTGTGGGGTAAATACAGAGTAATTGCAGACACTACCCTCCCACCAAAAGAAAGGAGCAACACATCTCTCATGTGCATGACAGGGGCTCCCGTAGCAAGGGATATCTGGTGACTCTATTCCCACATCCCCACTCCTCAACTGCCAGTCCAATGGGAAGGGCAGCAGTTGCTTATCCCATCCGGCGATTCCCGTTCCTCAAAGTAGCCAGGAGAATTTGTGATGTCTTGGGATTAATGGTCAGCTTGACTCCAATGAACGCAGCAACTGCTTGCGAGCCCTGATCATCTACACCCGTAGCAGCTGTGCAGGAATTGCAGGATTCCTCGCACACCCTAACCTCGTGCGAGGCCTGGCAGGATAAAGACAGTTCCGCGTGCTGTCAATGCAGTGTTTATTGAAAATCTCGTGTCACGACACCAGGTGGGACTACGTGAGTTTTGATGGCTGGCTACACGTGTTCACCACAGCGTGAGATGTTTCTCAACCTGTTTTTCAAGTCAGAATTAAGCACAAAAGATGTGATTACTATTTCAAAATATATACTTTTAAGACTTAGGAGTTATCCTGAAACACTTGCTTTTTAAATCTCACTGACTTTAAATGAGGCATCCGAGCCAGCTTCAAAAGTAAAATTCAGGATTTAAGCCAACACAGTCTCATGAAAATATCAGAAATGTCAGTGGTAAAACCAAATAGCGTTAAGAAAACTTTCTAAAGCCACTTAAACTCACCTCGGTAACAGCCCAGGCTCCCTACCAGAGAGCGTGGCTCTCAACAACGTAGTGCTGCAATGAAGCTCAACCTCTGTGCAGCCGTACACAGCTCAGAAAGGCAAAACCGCTTTGCAAATTCTTGACTATAAAGGTAACATATTGAAAACAACAATTCTCCTTCTCCTTCAGAAGCCCAGAAACCACCAATTATAGAACAGGACTGAAATAAAGCTTTATGTGTCCACATATAAAATTTCTAAGATTATAGCAATAATTGTTATAAATGTACAAAATAAGGCAAATACAATGTAGCACTGGAAAAACAAGTAGGAACACTAATGCATTGAAAAATACTAACATGGAGTGAAAATTCACCTGCAAGGTGAATGAACACAAATTTTCTCTGAATGGATGTGGCTAGCAGAAACTAGCTCTTCTGCAAAGCGGTGGCTGAGTTGTTCAGAGCTGAATAAATTCAAGGATACAATGCCATGGCCACCAATCCCAGACTACTGGCTCACTGCTGCCTTCCTGCTCTCCTGCCTGGTGTGATGAAAGAGCTGCCCAGGCACATTAAACTGACTAAAACTCTTCCCCCCTCCCCACGACAGAGTACAAAAACTGTTCTGCAAAGGCAAAAATGCATTTCTGGTGCAAGGGAGAGGACACAGCATCAGTTCATCCAGTTTAGGATGCACTAGAATGACAGTCCTACCAGTTCAACCACCTCCCAGTACAGGTCTTACCACTTTCTGAATTTATAGATTTTTCTAAAAACTCCAGAAGCACAATACTATTCAATTTTCAACAATCAAATACACCTGTTAAGGATGACTATCCTTAAAAACATCTCCACCGTTCGTAAGTAACCTCTCTCTACTCTCCTAAACACCAGCTTTCATGTAAATACACTTGCATACATTTATAAGCACTCTGAGTACTTCAGAGACTACAGTACTAATTTAGTATTTTTTACCTTGACCCTGAGAAGTCAAAGAGTGAAAGCTGCAATCTGTTGTTTCTTTTGAAACAGCTGCAGAATAGCTTCTAACTTGTAATGACAAAAGCATTTTGACTTACACATACCTGACAGATTTGCGGAACTACAAGTGAGGACACACGTTTCCAAACGCCGCCCTTACAGCACGCGCTTGTGTCAGAAGAAGAGCAGTGAAAACGGGGGGGTGAGGAGGGCAGAATACACCTGCCCTCACAAGTACAGACAAACAACTTACTATTGAGTCTACCATCTGTGTTAATAACAGGTTACAAGTGGTATCTGTATAGATCAGACAGCACGCCCGGGAGAGCGTGAGCTTTACTGAACGCATGGACAACTGCAGCCTTCTGCTACACCTGAACGTGTTAGTAACTCCAGCGTGCCTGGGGGAAACCCCACGTTACGGAGGAACCGCGCACTAACTGCCCGCCGACCAGTTCCACGTGCCAGGGTAAGGCCCGCAAGCCTCCTCGAAATCCAGAACGCGCATCCTCCGGGTGACTGGGTACCCGCCAGGAACGAGGAGTCGCTGTTAAGTATCAGCTACCTGCACCTGCAGCCAAGCCCCACGTCCCGGGGCTCAGGAGGGGCTGAGGTGCAGGGCTTGCAGGGACTCGTTTATGAAGTGAGGGACTGGGGCGTCGGTGACGAAGGGGCAGCGTGGGGCTGGCACTGCCGAGCAGAGCCCTGCAGAGCCGCTCCTCCTGCGGGGACAGACTCGTGCCCCTTCCCTTCTCAAGCAGCAGCTGACTGTCACACAGCCCAGGACTCGCGGGAAATGCCGAGCTCTAATTATGTATCAAACAGAGAAAGCACGAGCGATTTGAATATTAAACCCATGAGACTTGAAATTGAGATCATTAAGAAAACTGATTCTGGACAGAGGCAATGTGACTTCTGCAATTTTTTAATTTTAAATTTTTTTTAAGAAAAGGACTGCTCTTTGCATTTCTGATACATGATTTCAGTTTTAACACCAGAATGGTGTACTTTTATCTAGGAATTTAGAGGCAGGGGGGTTTTTTTGAAGGACAGATAAAAGTTTTCTGTTTGAATTCCCTCACTCTGATGGCCCTGAGAGGGGGGGGAAGATACCTGGTTGCATGTGGCATCCTAAGGAACAGTAAAGCAGGGGCAGGCATGCTGTGAAGATTCTGTTTTCTTAAGCGGCCTCTACCACAGTCACCTTTCTCTCCTCCAATTTCTGTAGCCAGACCTCTCTTTGCATGAGATCTGCCACAAGCCTTCTTGGCTTCACTAAGACTCTTCTCCAAATATTACAGACGGTCCAAGTGAGTTTCTGGGATGCTGTCAAACAAAATGTTCCCGAGCCAGCCACCGTTTTAGTTGTCACCGCTATTTCAAGACTTTCTTACGCTTTATTTACCTAATTGAGATGACAAGGGACAGCACCTCTAGCAGGACGGCGATGATGAACACCACGACTGCTGCAGGTGGTGGAGGGGACGCAACCATCCCGTGTTTCAGGAAACATGTGATAGAGAGTATGAGGAAGACTGTGGTGGAGAGGAACACGTCCAGGAGCGAGCTGAAGGTAGCACTGGCAAATGTCTTCACTGGAGCATTCCTTATAACCTGTGTGGAATACAGGGATTGAAGGAAGGGATGAAAATGAATAAACGTTGTTTTGCTGATTTCAACTGTACCATAAACAGCAGCTCACAAATTCAAATAAAGGGATACAGAGCTTTTTGCCACTTCATTAATCCAATATAAGTACTGTTTTGAAACAAGAAACAGAAGCGGTAGTTCAATGACTATCACAGTTCCCTGAGAATAAGTGTGTGTTGAAAAAAAGACACTGGCAGCACAGCCCCTGGGTCTGGGGTGATTTTTACAGAATATGATGATACAGAAGTAAACCATACGGAAATTGCCTATTCTATGCAAAGAAACATAAGCACCATAATTACTAGCAGGTAAAGCTATAAGATATTTTCTTCAAGGACTTTAATTTAAAATAATAACAGCTCTTATAATAAACCTTTTAGCTCCAATGGCTCTTTAAGAAAACCTCCAAACACCACTCTACTGAAACAGTTACTTGCCTGTGGCGGAGTTCACATCTCCCTCCCAGCCCAGACTGAAAGCAGCAATCGGGATGCTGTGTAATCTGAATCGATCAGAGCTCAGGACACCAAGTTCTGTTCTTCCATAACCCCTTACCAGACATTCCCATCCCATCTTGTCCTGGCCCCAGTGCCTGTGCAGCTGTGCTGTGTGCTCCTTTGGCCAGTCCGGCTGAAAACTAGATCATGAGCTCCACATCCTGGCTTACTCAGATGAGCCCAGTCTTACAAGTGCTCATATCTGCCCAAGGGATGACAGAAAGCAAGTTCCAACAAAAACTAAAAAGTATGTTTTCAATATCACCATGAAGTAGCCCAGTTTGAGTACTCTCATTCCATTTGGAAATTTCTTTTGCTCCTCAGAGCACTATCTGCGCTCAGCAATATTGGGGAATGAACTTGTTCCTCATTTGTACCTCTGCAACCTAATAAATTCAGCTAGCATCATTTCAGTGCCAAAATTACCTTCTAATCTGAACTGTAGCAGAATCTTGTTACTCCACACAGAGAGTCACATAAATTGAATTAAGGAGAGCAGCACTGTATCTTAAAGTGACAGCATCAAAGATGCCCTAATACTGTTAAATAGTGCCTTAATTTCCAAACAAGGACAGGCTGAGCAAGCTCTTGGGAAGTGAAGCTGCTGACAGAGAATGATCACAAATCAAGCATGCAGTTGACGCTGTGTAATTAGAGGTAAATTCAGTGGTGTTGGAAGTTACTTTCAGCAACAATTTACTGCAAGGCAATTAAATAACCAGCAGTGCTGACAAATCATTTCAGTCTCCCAAGCTAACAATGTTTTTGTTTTTGTTGTGCTGGACCAGTACTATGCTAACATTAACGCTTTAACAGGTTTCTCCCCAATGCTGCAGAGTTACTATTAGAGAGTGAAGATTCCCATTTCCAGGGAGGTTTACATAGTCATTTTAAAATTAACAGATTGTCACTAACAAAATGCACAGACCACATTCCTGCTCCTTCTATGAATTTCCTACATACCCACATTAACAGGTCAATTGGTATATGCTTGTCTATCACTGCTCCGCTTTTCTTTCCAATCTTTCCATTGGAAAGCACTTGATTTACTATTTTCTGAATAGTTTGTGCAAATTTTGCAGGCTGTATCCCACGGGAAGTTTCTCCTTGTTGTTGCTACATGAGCTTTATTCAGAGAGATACCACTGGAATACAGTGCTGCAGGATGAGTATGGAGTTCCTGAACAAAGTGAACAAACTGAACCGCAACACAACTATGCTTCCCATTGTTAGAGGAAAAAAAAAAAAAAAAAGAGTAAGTTAGGTCTCATTTGTAAACATTGGAAAACAAGGAAATAGGGGCTATTGCTAAGGACAAGATGACAATGCTGCCCAGAACAGAAAGCAGCCCATCAACAGAAAGCAACAAGCAGCAGAAGCAGAAACCCTACCTGCCCTCAGATGTAGGACATACCGGGAAGAAAAGCAATCAACACCTACATTTGTCACAGTGCCATTCTGCCAGATGGATGACCCAAACTAATAGCTCAACGGGACTGGAAGGGAAGGGCCCATTCCCCTTCCTGCTGCCGGACACTTATCTTGCACTAGCTCTGGCACTTGCCAACCTCTCTGTGAGCTGCTGGTTCAATACAGCAAAACACAGACCCAGATGGAAAAAGAAAAAGCCCCAAACAGCAAAACAAAACATGAATACTTTATGCTAGGTTAGTAAAATGAACTGGCTCACAGCAGGGAAGTCTGATAAGCACCAGAGCCCTCAGGAGGCGCAGGGAGGAGTAGGAGGAACAAGGAGGGGAGAGTGCAATTGCCCTCTTTTGGCAGCAACCTTTCAGCTACTCATGGAAATGCAGCCCTGGTTAGTACTCACGTCTAATGTTGCTATATGGAAACTTAAAACATCTTGCTTAAAACAACCAGGCAGGAATATCTACGGACATGAAAAGCCTGCAAATACTCTTGGCCCCCAAGGAGATTAAGGACTTTTTACACTCAGTGCAAAATCCTGAAGAAGGCACCAAGTTCCTTATGATTTATTCACTGTTCCTTACAATTTATTCACTGTTCTTTACCATTATGCAGTGTTTTGAACCGCCTGTTTCTGAATGCAGCACGCTTACAGAACTTAGGACATTTGAGTTCAGAGCAGATTTGGGTTGCACAGGGATAACTGTGAGGCTGTGACATGACCAAGAATCAAATTCAAAGTTATCATTCTCAAAGTATAGGATATTTGATGAGAAGGCAAGTAGCATTTGGTCCTTTACTTTCATCTTAGCATGGTTCTCTGGCCTGCCTAGCGCCTTAAAACATTAACCTGAAAATGGAGCAAAGGCAGGTGAGAAGTAATTCATGTATCTTAGTGGATTGTGAAAATGTATTTCCAGCCTAAACATTAGACTAGACTCAGGGCACAGCAAAAGACAAGTTAAGTGACAGGAGACTGTTTTCAGAGGCAGCAATACCAAGTAGTAAATCACATTTGACGTTTCACGACCCTGGTCATCAACTGCAAAGAATGTGTTAATGACAAGACAGTTGCTTAGCAGATTACAGAAGGAAAACAACGCCAGGAGAAACACACCTCTTCCTGATAGCTTGTCCTGTAGGCCATCTCCAAATCCTGATCCAAGAAGTTCAGGCTCAGCTTGTTAATAGGTGGTTTAAAGAAGTAGTCTTTCATGAGGCTAAAGAGAAAAGAGGGTATCAACATCAGTTTATTCAGCTATAACTCCTTCAGAGCCCCCTGTTCTGTGGCTTCTGTTTCTAGGGATGCTAGTGCTCAGCTTTGAACTTCCTGCAGCTTTTGTTCACTCTCAGTCAACAAGGTACCCCCTTACCCACATCAGTCGTTCGGTCAAAGGAAGTATTTTATGAAAAAATGACAGAGCAACTGTAATATTTTCAGGAAGAGACAAACAAGTCCTTCCAGAAACTTAACAGCTATAACCACAGATTATTATAGATAACTGTAATACAAGCCAGCAAATAGTAAAGGTTAATTGCTGCTACAGAAGCACAACCTTGGGAGACGTGTAGCTGCGGGATATTTGTGTCTGAGGTAGAAATCTATCCTTCAAATCAAGCCAAGGATGACAAAGGTGACAAATGGTTAGAAGAAAAAAAATGATGTCCATTTTAGAACACAGTACTTTCTTGTTATTTCAAAGACACTAAAATAACTCAGCTGGGAACATTCCCTTAACAATCTGGGCTGCAAAGAAACAGAACCTGAGGAAATGGAGAGCTTACATTTACTTCTGAAGCAGGAGACTTGAAATCACCAGAATCATCAACAAAGGCACTGACAGATAATGAAACTAGCTCACTAGGACTAGCAAACCAGGAGGCAGCATCTACCAGAGGGAGTTTATGCACTCCTTCACCCTATCTTCCAGCATCAGGTGCAGAAAAAAACCCAAACATAAAAGAGGCATGAATCATTAAAAAGCTGTTCCTATTCCCCACCCTCTGGAGCAAAAATAGAACATACTTTGAGTTTTACATTAGTTGTAAGAGGTTTATGAAAGAAGTTTTCTAATGACATCGATGGCACTTGATCTGCAAACCTTTTCTTTCACTAGTAGGTGTCGGAGCTGAAAGCACTCAGCTTACAGAGCACTGAGTGCCTTGTGCCCGACGGTCGCAGAGTAAGGTCACGCCTGCTTATGCCATTTATTGCTGGGCTATCACCCTCTCTTCTGCACAGTCCTCACCTGAGACTTCAAAACACACACTCTTGCCTCCTTTCATTTTCAAGCAACCAATCCCACTGGTTATTTACAGTGAGCTAACCGTTTTTTAAATTGCTGTACAATCTGAAATGGGGCAACTTCTTTCCAAGTGCTGTTCCCCCCCTGAAAATTGTAGCACCAGAGCAACAATTAGAGTGCGCTATTTTCAAGTTGCTAAGTCTAAGCAAAAACCAGAGATGCACATGAGATCAAATTCTAAGCAGATTAAGCAGCTGAAAGAATCTACAGAGCTGGTCTGTGCCTGAATTATTTTTTTCAGAGGTTTTGTTTTGTTTTGTTTTTTTTTCCTGGGTTTTTTTCCTGTTTATTTTTTAACAACACTTGCCAAAGAGGTTTTTTGGAAGCACAAGCTCCCCAGTACAAGATGGCATGTGGGAAGCATTTTTTCTTGAGATGCAAGGCCAGTCAAACACACATCCCTAGACCAAAGCTCAAGAAGACAAAAGACTTCAACCATGAATATGGGTAGATACTTTATAACCTTTAAACATTCTGGCCTTGGCCAATATATTAAAAATATCAGGATACTCTGATGGAATGACAGGGCACATTCAGTTGAGTTCTCTATCTCTCTTTCATTCTTCCTCACCTTCCCTCCCTCGCCTCTCTTAGATATTTCTAAGAACACCTTATAACAAAATTTGCAGGCTGCTTTTTTTTTTTTTTTTTTTTTTTTTTTTTTTTTAAGTATTGTTGAATTCACTTTCTTCCTCCAGGGAAGCTCAACAGAATATGATGACCTCGTGCTGGAGCTGCAATGGTCTAAGGATGTAGGAAGAACAATCCAGTTTGCCAGTGCAGCACCAAACAGAAGGTATAACACGACGACGCCGGGGCGAAGGCAGCGTTTCTGCTGTCAGCCAGCCACACCACGCCAGCCCAGCTCCATCCCAACAGCCGTCTGCCTCAAAGAGGAAAATCCCTGTTTAGTTGACTGAACAGTCAAGTACATAATCATCTGCTTCCCAGGAGGCGCTGTGCCTCCCCAACACAAGTGATTTCGGTTTTTCCTGACTTGAGCAAGACTGTGAAGTGGGAGATGAAAAAAGCAAACACATTTTTAAAGTATTTAGAACAGAAAACTGACCCAGAGAGGGGACGGAGGGCTGCACAGAACCCAGATTCTGGGGGGAGCTTCATATTTCCCTGGGACTCTGCTCTGTAAGCCTAAATAGATCATTTGTAAGTACTGTCCTGATTAGCGCATGCGTACTTCAAAAGGCTTATAACCTAGGGAATATGTATTTTTTCTTGGAAACAAAAATCTAAAAAGCGAGAATCCTTTGAGGGTATCCCCAATGAAATTAACTACTTTAAACATTTTGTACTTTTACACTATAGTCTTGTTTTAAACTATACAGTAACATGCAGATTACAATGAACAAAGCATGGTACTTTTACAGTGGTTGTAGAAAAGCCAGAATCCAAGCTCAAACTATACACTGCTTGCCAAATATATATGATCAAGTTGTAAGAAGATACAAACTGTTAACTTCTATGAAAAGGATCCTTGTGTAATGCAATAATACAAACATGCCACACTAACACTGGCTTTATTATTATTATTATTTTTAAAGACAACTGGAACTGTGCTGAGGTATCAGCCCCAAGGTGAAATCTCCGCATGCAAAGAGACCACTCATGAAACTCTCAGCCACACACCTAACCTCTAGAAAGGGGCTGAGAAATTAAAAATATCACCAATATCCAGTACCTCCTCCAGGCTAGCCCTACAGGCTCCCAAGTCCCTCCCCAGGATACGTTTAACTCTTCCCAGCTGTACAGGAAGCCTGCAGGATTAATTTACACACCTTATCACCATGCCTGGGTTAGGTACTTTCTGTTAATATAAATTTCTATCAGAGATCAGACCACAGCATTGTGCACCACAGTGGAAATCACGTCCAGTGCTAGAGGAAGCTCACAATTTGCTGCTGCTGCGTTTGCAGTAACATAAAACCAAAGCAGCAAAACTCTGGTATTATTAATGTGAATGGGATTTCACATAAGATGACCAAGAGGAAGTTTGGACTTCACCCTCCTCCTTGAGAAAACTCAATTCTCCCAATCAAACATCCTCACAGATACTAAATTTTCTGAGACCAACAATATATTAAGTTTTACAGCAGGGGATCAAGAATGTTTTTAAATGACTTATTACATGTAACTTCACATTGAGAAATGTTAAAAAGTATTAATGTAAAACGGTAGGCTTAAACCATTTTGCATAGACCTAATTAATCAGAAGATTATTTTTGGAAAGTTATGTTTACATGAACTGAACTCAGCAGAGAAGTTTCCTTGGCAACAAGAAATGGCCCACTTAATATGGTAATGATGATATTTAATTGAGACCAAAAAAAAGCTAGGCTTTGACTGATGTCAAATCATGGTCCTACTTTTTCTTTTTTTGAATCAGAAAGAGTTATCCATTTTGTAAGTGTAGGAGGAAAGCAGCAGGAACACAAGAGCCTGAGCTAGGTATCTTCAGCAAGCCAACGGCACAAATTAAGCTACTTCTATAACTTAAAATTTGCAGCATGCTAGTTACATTTTAAACAAAAATCCTATTTGTTCTTGCTGACTTCTGCCAACATTTGGACTTTCCCAATCCATCTGTCTTCTACTATTTGAAAGTATCAGCTAAACCCCTATTCTCAGCCACTAATGACAGATCATACATAGAGGACGAAGAAAAAAAGTGTGTGTGTGTGGGGGGAACCTAAATTTTAACTGAAGATGGCCACAGGAGAAAGGTATTCTGAAAAAAAAAAATCTAGTGAAGAGACTAGAGGGGGACTGGTGTCCCTCCTCTTCACTTCTCCCTGCTTTAGTCATGTTTTCAGTTAAGATGACAGTGTCCCTGTTCCAAGCAGCCTGGAGTCTATAGGAGCATACAGTTTCAAGGATATTTAGATAAAACACCCCTAATCTGAGTGGAAGCAGTGAAGCAAAAATAAGAATAGCTATATATAACAACAAACTCAAGTTATCTGTTTATTTGCTCCAGTCAAGTCACTTCCATAGTAAGGGAGATACGGTTGTGCGTTTACAAAAATCACACACTACTGAATTTTGAAGAACATGCTTTCCTCTGACCAAAGTAAGGGGTTTTTGTTCGAAATAGAAGGAAGCTAACTTTACAAAACGCTGTAGGTAGGTAGTAGGTCCATGAGAATTCACTCCTAGTAATTCTGCTTCCAAGCCCAGTACGATTTCTAGGTATTAGTTAGTCACACGATGTTATCAGATGTTCTTGTGCTACACAAAAATGTGAGTTTTGTGGTTCAGATTTTGTGTTACACTTTTAATTGCAGATGAAGGTACATACTATGTGCATTAAGATGACTTGTGAATCTAAAGATAAGGTTTCAACTTCGTGACAAATCATTTAAAGAGTATTTTTCCTTTTCAAAGACTGGACTGAAAAACAACTGTTCACCACAGAAATTATGAAAAACCTGTCTTTACATATTCCTGAGCAGAATCTTTCTGACATCAAGTTTCTAGTGTAGTTTAAGAAGAATACAGACTAAGATTGGAAAACATATGACGTTATATGTTAGCAGTAATTACTGGCATTAGACAAAAAGCACATAAATAAAGATAAAAGATACGGGGCTCCTATTACTGCCTTCTTGCTTTTATACCATTTTACACTGTACAGCTTGATTTTCCTTACCTGTCTTCTTTAATCACGTCCACAAAGTGAGCATCTGTCTTTTCTCTGATGTTTTTGAACCTCAAAGGAAGGAGAGCTGATTGATCCAGACTCACTCCACCCCATTTCCCTTTCTCTTGCAACATCTCATAAAGCGAGGTTTGACTATTGCTGAGCTTTTCTTCCTGTGGAGGACTCAAAAGTCCATTCTGAGTCTTTGGACTGTGTCCTCCTGGAGCCTGAATGACAGAAAGCAAAACACACATGGGGAACATTAGTGGTTAAGAAAGACAGAAGAGATTTCACAGAGCAAAAGTTGAAACAACACACCATTTCCCTCAACACACTGAGCTTTTACCTGATCATGTCAAAGACCTGCCCTGAACTCATTCACACCTCCTGTAAGCTCACGCCTCTTTAGGTGTCGTCTTTTTGGTTCCTATGTACCAAGTTTCCAAGGAGCAGAAAACAAAGTACGTTTTCACACATGCAGTGAAGACCAACCACAAACCCAAATTTCATTCACTCATCTTAAGGTCAAGATTCTTTTAAAGAACTTTTTCAACACCTACTTAAACCATGCTAACTTTCCACAGGTCATGAGACAACTTACTCTGCACAGCCCTTGCTGATCCCTCCCCAGTCAGACCTTCCTCCTTTCTCCTACCTGTAGAAACAGCCCTTTTGTACATCCCAGCATCCTACAAAATATTTATCCTGCAAATTAAACAAAGTTTTCTTCACTGACTAGGATATAACTGTTCTTTCTGGTTTTCTTTTGCCTTTGTATTAATTAATACTGCATTTCCAAATTGACATCAGCTTGCAACACAGCTTAGGTACACAGTATTATCAATTCTGCTTTCATTCATTTGAGAACACAAATTCCTTTTAACCCAAAATTATCCTATCTTCACGGAACCTAAAGTTCCTTCTTTCACATTTTGTTTGACCTAGACCAATATGTACTGAAGTAATTCCAAAAAAATTAGACAACTGAGTATGGTTAGAATGAAAATGAACTGCAGTTAGTCAGGATCATTTTCAAATGCAAACATATATCAAACTTAGCATATCTGAATGTTCATCTCCCCGCCTCCATGTCTTATCATTTATCACATATCATTTATCCTCATCCTGAAACCCACTCATGACAGAATTTTCTTCATTTCTGCCTGTACAGCAGTCAGCACAGCACTGACAAGCTCCTCCAGAAGACTATTCCTGGATGCCACCGCAGTGACCATAAATAAATACCATAAATATCATCACCACTCCAACCGTGCACTGAAATATGCTACTTAGATTGTAAAATCAACTTAGTTAAAGTTAAGAAATATCCGGTTTCTGGCTGCCCATGCAAGATTAGTTCAACCTCCTTATGTATCTATCCTGTAAAGCAAATGAAGCACGTGAATATAGGCAGGTATAATGAAAGGTGCAGACACAACCAGTGAAGACACAAGACTCATGGAGCAGGAGAACGTCACCTTGTGCAGGGAAGAGTCTAAAAGCACTCGGGCTTGGCTCCCTATCACCGCCAAGACCTCAAGAGCTAAAGTCATAACAAGGTGTGTTGGAATGCTTCCCTGGAGCTACAGGAAAAGCAGGAGGGAGGTGGGCTGTGCTTCCCCTTCCGCCTGCCCGGGAGGGACGCCGGATCCCCACCCTGCGGGCTGCCCCAGTGGAGGTGTGAGCCCCAAGAGCCATGTGCTGGGAGCCAGGAGATGAAAGGATTCCCAGTCTACTCCCTTCTACCACTCACAACAGTTGTTTTGGCAGCTTGCAGGTGTTCACAGCACAGTGACAGCAGCTGACGAAGTAGAATAGGAAATTCAGTAGTTACCTTGGTGTGCTGCCAATGTTTTGCTAAAGAACATAATCAACAGAAGAGAAAGGTGATTTCAGCAACACATATCTCAGTAAAAGCAGACCAAAACCCCTTGGACCGGAAAGGCACTTGCGTATGACAGAAGGGCACTCTGCTGGTAAGCCAGAGGCACAAGAACTTCTCACATAAAAGGTCACCAGCTTCTTTTCTAAGGGAAAACATTCAGCAGCTTCACGGCAAAACCTGTTATGATTGCAGAGGGACATCTAGCCTAACCAGAGGGAACGCAGCTACGGAGCACAGGATGTACTGCAGTGCCAGGGTAACCTCTCTGCTTTTGAGATGAGGAGTCCTGACAAAGGCAAACCCAAGAGAACTGTCCAACAAGTTGCTGGAAGTGAAGGGTCTTCATTATTTGCCTTTTTTTGTAATTTATGCTAAAGACTGTATTTGCTCAGAGCACTTCCCAGAACAACTTGAGGAATTAAAAAAAAAGTCACAGTTATCACCTTTTCTATTTTTCTGATAAAGAATCTCCTTTTCCTCACCCCTGCAGCAGACATCGTTACTTGAAAAGCAGTAACTGACAGAACACAGAATTTTTGCTATGAGCAGCTCAAATAAAATATATGGACTCCCGTGCACTGTTTGCTTTCCCTGTCTGATCTTCAAGTTCATCTGAAAAATGCAGCAAAAATTTCTGCTCTTTCAGAGGTCAGCATGGACTTCTCTTGGCCTTTTCTCTTTAGCTCCTTGGCAAAGGCTCAAATCCCTAAGAAAATTCTTCCCTTCGGTTAGTTCAAGGTTTTCCTGTGCTGTCTCCACTTTGTTAATCTTAACAGGAGGGGATTAGAGTGTGAAACTGCTTGTGTGTAAGGAGAAAATCCCTATTTATTAAATGCTGTTAGCTCCAGTGTTACTGTGGTTTCTGACAGCAACAGGCTGTACAGACTGTTTTGAGCACTCAGAGGTTTGATGCACCATGTGACAGTTTCCTCTCATCAAGAGACAGGGAGGCTCCAGAGGCTGTTGGGAGCCACGAAGGTCCAAGGATGTGGTTAACATCATTAACATTCCCTAAAGACGGGGGACAAGAGTGCTGCAGGGCCAGGCACAGCGACGTGGCACGGGAAGGGAGCAGCCTCCAGAGATGGTCGAGGGAGCTGATGGCTCTTCTTCCCAAGAAAGCTGAGACTCCAAAGAAGATTTGGAAATCAAAAGCCACAGCAAGTTTGTGCATGCAGATGGTCTTTAAGCTTTCAGTTAAACAGGCATCCCAGACTTACTGGATAGCAACTTATCTGCTCCAGTTTTTGACTTGGCAATAACTAAACCAAATCAAAGGAGGACATGTGATTTAGTCTCCAGTAGCATGTTTCTTCCAGTGAAATTACAGACATTTTATTCAGCACTGTATAGACCTCTTCCTAGCAAGGTTAGATGACTTGCTAATTAACGCAGATGAAGCTAATACAGCTGTACTAGGAAGGAACTTAAAGGATAATTCTGATGAAGACAACAGATGACACGAGGGAGCTGGTACCAAAGGAAAATCTCTGTTTGCAGTTGGTTCCTGGAGATCCCTGGCACGTGGGCAGTGGCAGCCTGGGGAAGAAGCATCTCACGCAGACCATCTTGGCAGCCTGAGCAGATCTCCCACAATGTTTTCTGTCTTAAAGATGTCATGCTGTTTTGAGACCAGTACCCGCTGGCCACTCTGCTCTCTCTCTCTCAGAGCTGAAGGGACTATTATTTTATTTTTTTTTCTTAGGCTGTTTCCTAGGAACCCTGGCACAGCACATGTTCTACTGTGTTACATACCATTTCAGCCCAGTAAGGGAGTCCCTCTTCTGAGCTTGCAATTTAGGCATAAGAGACAACAGGTCAAATACAGACAGAGAGTAGAGGGACAAACACAGATTAATGTAGTAGCTCATCAGCAGAGTAAGTGCTGGCAAGTTTTTCGATTAGCTCTATACGCGGGAAGAGTTGTAAAGACAGATGTGAAGAACAAGACAGCTATCTCTGAGTGTGTTTATAAAGTGATTCTCCCCAAGGAGGGAAAGCATTAAACTTATTTGAAAGTATAACAATTAAGTGATGGGCACTGATATCCAGTCTGCATGTTGGCAGGAGCTTAATATTCAGGAAGGAGTGAGAGGTGACAGGCAGAGCAGAGAGGCCATGAAGGCCATGAACAAGACAACAAATAGGCAATGTCTGGTACTGCAGAGGAAGTAGGTGGCTTCAGTGAGAATATCTAAGCAACAGGCAAGGAAAGCAATCTTGGCAGCATCATGCTGAATATGTAAGACACTGTATTTGTCGTCAGAAGAAGGATGGAACTGACTTAAGGGCTGTGAATTTCAGCTGTGCGCGTGAACAGGAATGACTATCTCAGAGCTACGATGCAGAAGACATTGGCAAGACACAGGTCTAACTTGTGACAAGGTGACACGCAGCCAACTGGTGTCAGGGACGGAGAGCGTGGCAGGGTTGTTTGTGCCTCTGTCTTTGGGTAGCCTCAGCATAATGTAAAGAGTCCAAATTTTATGTCCTTCTCAGTATCAAACTGGGCCCATAAAATTACTAATAATTTTGAAAATTGGGAGGGGGGGCTCAACTAAATTTTAGAACACAACTGCTCAAAATCAAAATCAGTTCTGCTGCTTAAGAGCTTTAAAGGAAAAGCAATGTGAAAATGAGAAAGCTAACTGAAGCAGAGGAATAAGGGGAAAGGAGGGAAGTGATAAATACTTAAATTACCTTTGTACTGTTTTTATGCTCATCCTGACAACCATTTTGGATAGCTCCTTCGTCTATGCTGACATCGCAGTGGGGAGTAAGGGTGGTACTACATGAAGGGCAAGGCTGCAATGAGACAAAAAAATTTTAGCCGGGAATGTTCTGGTGTCCTCATAGTATTATGCAATTTGTAATTCAGTCCACTTGTATACTTGCAGCACGGTTAAAAGATAAACAAAGCTACAGAATGGGAAGCAGGGAGCAAAATTTGACTGGAACAGAATGCACCATTTCCAAAATAAATCACAGATTTTCTGTTTACTGAAGCTAAATCTAATCCAGGAAAGCATCACTAATGTAAGAACACAGATACACTGTAATCACCGCATACTAGCAAAGGGCCTCCCCAAGAAGAACGAAATCCTCTTCAGTGAGAGAAGCACAATTTTCTTATTTAAAAACTGCCTGCAAAAGGATCTGAATGGCATTATGAATGAAGACTTAGCACAAAATGCAACAAAATTCAAAAAAGCACAAAACACCATAACGCATTATGAACAGCACAGGGAAATGGAAAGCAACGGATCTGAACCTAATAAAGGGAAATACTTTTTCATATAGTGCTCTAAGACAGCAGAGTGGTGCTCAGGCTATTGTACATTGCTGAATCCAGACACTCAGCTAATGTCACAGTAAACAAGGAAACTAAGAAAGCAAAAACATCAGGACTTTTAAAATAGTTTTAGGTTATGCATTTTGGAAGCAACCTAACATGCTGTACTTCAGCTTTTAAGGAGTTAAAATGTCATCTTCTTAAGGGGAACTAACTCCCTATCTGTATCTTGCAAGTTCATACTTTTCTTCTGTCCTGGCAACATACAGGCAGGACCCTGCATCAGAGGGACCCTGTGTCTGATCCCAGTTGGCAATTCCTCTGCTCTGGAGATGGTTTACTCTTATCAGGCTTGCCAGAAGTCTATTAATGGTTACAGAGACACCAGTCACAGGGAATGGTGTACTAAATTCGGTACACTATATAGTAAATGGTGGTAGGTGATCCACTGAACATCTTGATAATTTTTCCAACAAGCAACTTGAGCCTTTTGTCCCAAACTCAACACCCCATCTCCATTTTATCTGTTTATTTTGAGTCAGGAGGGACTCATTCAAGCCTCTGTAGTCTATCGTTCTCCTGGTCCAAAAACACAACAAATTCTGCCTTCAGGTTGACTCCTGATTTCAGAGACCAGCGTGTAAGTCTCTTCAGAACTGAATTTTTACCCAAAGCCCCTTTTCCGCTTCTGGTGTCACACCTGAAATTGAGTAATGCAGCATATTTAATGTTCAGGCTCTTACAGCATGGCACGTCTCCCAGTCCACTCTTCCTGTGACTGCTGATCCACCTAATCACCCTACAGTGCCTCTCAAAGGCTTTCATGAAGACTCTGAGCCTTCGTAACAGCCAGCAGACCACCATGTCTGCTGTTCTTCGGGGACACGGTCTGGGTTGGGGCACTGTATTACTGTGAGTTTCCTTATCTGGCATCAGATAAGCAAGTTACATCCAGTTCTGAACCTGTACAGTCTGAACAAATACCAGCATACTTGAAGAAACTATGAAGTTGATTCTCAAATGGTTATGTTTAAAAATAATCTGAGACTAAATATCACGAATGCCTCGGCCACTTTGTGGAAGGCAATATTAGATGGCTTTAAAAGCAAATATGACAAGGGGCTAACAAGCCTTCTATGCTCCTAGACTGTTAGTTAGTAGATTTATCCATGGCAAAAGCCAGTTAATGGTAATAAAACCCAAATACCTCTAACAAAAAATAAAGACAATACCCCCTGTTTGATCTTGCTAATAAATCAGCAAGACCACGTCCAACGCTTAGCTCCTGGGCTTAAACCAGAAGTCAAGTCTCAGAAAAGAAGTCCGACCTTTTGAGAAGAGGCAGAAGTCCATCAGACTTACCCCATGTCTTCACGCCAGCACTGTTAACTCGATTCTCTATTGCAGACATTCACACAAGCTCAGTGCCTATGCGATCTCATCACGATGAATAATACATTAATGCACTTCCAGTAAACACCAAGACAAACAAAAGTACTTTCTGTTTTCATACCAAGAGATGATTAAAACATTTTTACAACAGCTTGATTCCCTGTCAAGTAAGGGATTTTAGAAAATATGATAGGGAAAATAAACTGATACCAAAACCGCTTGAGCACATTACAGTGTTTTAATTAAAAAAAAAAATCAGCTGCTGTTATAGATTTACTTATAGTTTTTAGCTTCTTCACCATTTTAATTATGTACACACATTTTACTAATATCCATTTTGCAACAAGGCTTCCAATTAAATGAACTAGAGATACACTGGAGGAGTGAAGGAAATACAATTCCTTTCATGGATCAATTACTGTTGCATTCTCCTTCCTGACTTTCCTTAACAGATCTTGTCTGCTTGAACATCCACTCAAGCCCAAAATGTGAAAGTCATCCTTTGCATCCAATATGGCCACTTATCCCCTTTAAAACAAAAATATTTCAACTTGCCTATAATTTTGCCCCTCCTACTTAGTCTCTTTTGCAGAGCTGGAGTCATCTCCTCCTACACTGACACTGTTTACAGCTTTGTATTTAAAACAGTTGGCATGTAAGTCATGATTCTTTTGCAAATTATTATCTCCAGACCCTACCAGCAAGCTGCAGGCTTTGGAGGAAAAAAAAAAAAAAAAAACAAACAAACAAAACAAAAACCAAAAAAAAACCAAAACCAACCCTACACCCCCCCCCCCACCCCCCCCCCCCCAAAAAAAAACCTGTAAAAAAGAAACCCACTCCTTTACAAAAATTGTGCATGATCTGTAATTATACTGCACAGTTGTTCTTTTTGGGGATTTTTTTTAATACGCATATATATTTATTTATTCTTTTAACACCGTAAGACCTACTCTAGCATGGCTGGCAAATTAAACATTCCTTGAAAGCTTGACCCAGCCTTCTTGGTCCACAATCACTCCACTAACAGACTACCCGTGAGAGAGGGGGCTGGTGCACAGCTACAATCGAAAGTGCGCTGTGGAGTCTGGAATACCTTGTCCCTGGCCGTGCCCCCAGAAGCAAGCACGCTTCGCCCTGCTACGCTGCAACGGCAGTTGCAGAACACGTTCTTAACCAAGTGCTCAGCATTCACACGATTGCTTCATCGCTATGCCACACACATTCTGACATGGTTTGTGGCACGCATTATACGGATGCTTATCAGACCGCAGGGAAAGCTGAGTTTAGGGTCATGCAAAATTCACTCCAGCACCGGTGTATTTGGGGCAAGACAGGAACACTGCTGTCAAAGAGTTGTGAGGCCGCTTAGGAAATCACTGGCCAGACCAGCAGTGCTCACGGTGATGAATAAAACCAGGTACCTGTAAGCATAAACTCGGTGCAGTAGCTTTAGCACAACGGCAGCCAGGGTATCCAAGAAGGCTGAAACTGAGCTGGCACTTGTCCTAGATGTTCTTCCAAAGCAGCTTCTTTTAGCTTCTCGTTCACTTATTTGGATAGCCACGTTTGTGTTTTTCCACTGTGCAGACCATCATTCAGCATTTAAAGAGCAATTAACTTCCAGCCAAGATGGTCCCAGAGCAGAAAATCAGGGACAGGGCAGTAAACAAAACATCGTGGGCCAGCAGCATGCCTCCACATTGCATGCTAGCTGCTTAGGAACAGTGGTGCATCTGTATCTACCCTTCTGCAGAGTAAGTAACCCCATGTTTTAGAAAACACATGCCATAGCTGATCCTTAACAACATTTTGCACTTGGATCATTTTAACAACTACCACCGCAAGTTAATACATAACAAATTTTATCAAATCCTAGCTGCAGTCAGGCCAGCCCTGTAGTTCGCTGTAGTTTCGCAGTCCGCCAGTTACAGCTTACTTTGCTGTCTGGCATTCATTCACAAGGCATTCTTGCTTTCTCTCAAAACAGCACCCTTCGTTTTACTGCTTTGTTTAACCCCTCCTCTCCCACCCTGCTCCACAGACAGACAGCTCAGTAATACTGCTCCACTTGGTAACAATCTTCTTCCTTCACTACTTGAAATAAAGGATTTTCTACCCCTTACTGTCACATCTGTACCTCTGCATGGCCACACACTGGGCAGCACAGACAGGCTTATTTGTACAGATACCCACTGACTGCTCTGAGATGTAATCTCCTGACTTATTTGCTAGTACCTTCACTGAAAGACAAGAGAGAGCTGGAAAGCTGGTGTGGAAGGGATGCCAAGTGTACTCTTTCTTATACAGGAGAAGGAATCGAAAAGCATCACCAGCAACTTGGATGAAGTCAAACCACACACAGTGCATATTTTGGGGAGGGATGAAGATGGCTACAGCTACCTTCTGTAGTTAAACAGTCCTGGCTTGCTCTCCAAGGAGCTCACTTAACTTTGGACTAGACCTTGGGGCCAGCCTTCCAGCTGATCTCACTTATGATCCAGTGTTTTTACTCCAAATCTTAAAACTGGGCACAGAGGCAGGGTAAAAGCACCCTACTTGTGCTCTTCTAATCCAGACAACAAAAATACCAGCAGCAAAAATGGAGTAGCACGAAAGTCACCCCCCCACTCTGTCAGCTCAATCTCAAACCCGTGTTGAAAGATCCTCTCAGAACTAAACACACAGAAGTGTAAGGACAGTGGCCTGCAGATGACCACCCATGGCTCTGACATTTGTGCCCAGCTCGGGCAACCCAGGACGAGGAACTCTTAGCACAAATGAAAATAGAGCACAGACATCTGTTGTTTGGGAAATCTGTTCTGAGCTGGAAGATGGAGAGTAACAGCAAAGCTTCAAAGCAATACACATTGTTTCACAGATTTCCTTGTCATGAGATCTTGTGAGAGGTGTGAACATAACAAAATGTCATAATTTCTCTGTGCTGAATCCATACAAATCGTTGCCCTCAGTTCTAGATACAGGTTTCTACAGAGCAAGCAAATAAAACACAATCTCATAGCCTACCGGAACATTTTCTCCCACCACACAATCCCATTATTTTTTTGTGGGGATCTCTATTACATACTCATATGAAAAAAAAAGGTACGTGATGGCAGAAGCTGGCTGCAGCAAAAGCAGAAAATCATAGCAGCTACAGTAGCTGCATAAAGCACATTCTTTATTCCGTCATAAAATCAAGACCATTGAAAAAGCAGCATTGACCTCTCAGTCCTGAATTAAAAAAAATATTTATTTAAAAACACCTTTAAAAAGTGTTCACCTTACTCTAGGGATTGCTTGTCAACTGGTGAGGTGTTTTACTTTGTAAACTTTTTCGCCCTTCAAACTACGTTTTGTCACTATATGTATATATACACACACGTACACGTACGTGTATATATACACATATATAAAGCGGTGCATAAACAAACCTGTAAGGTTTCCCCATCCACACATCTCTCCTTGCTCATCACACTTTGAGATCTATGCTGCTTGGCTTTGAAACAAGACCTCACCTTAGGTTTGTCCACATGTTTGAGAGTCTTTGTCGAGTCGCTGGCGTTCTCGGCTGACGATGCTCCCTGTATCCTGGCTCCGTCTCCGGACTCCAGGCCGGGAAGCAACGCTTGTGAACAGCTGCAGTGGGGCTCCTTCACCTTCTGACCAGAGATCAGATAGGTCTTCAAACCTACAGAAAAAAGAAACGAACAGTCAGAACTGCAGAAAGACAAAAACAACAGTCCTTTGGACTTCTCAGATACGAAACACAGTAACTACCAGAGCACTATCAGGGTTTGGAAACACAGCACACAAAGACAGACAGCGGCTGGGAACAACCACCAGCAATATAGAGCTGCTCTGCTAACGTGGTGGCAATTAGGATTGCCCAACATCTGCTGTCCCAGCCACAAGAGACCACGCTAACACACAGCAACAGCCAGGACTGAAATGTACTTTCTTTATTCCATTTTCACTCACGTACTTCTGAAAAAGAGAGCTCAGACCTTTGGTATTCACTTCCAAGTTGTAATTTGAGCTCTCACATTAACTTTTTACTCTGGACAGGATTTGCAGCCTGTTTTTCAGTGATATTTGTGTTAATATTCTACTTCTGAAAAATCATCATGTATTCCTCCACTTGCACTCTCCATTTGTCAGAGAGATGTCGTGAAGATTGCTTAATGCTGGTAACACTTTGAGAAAGGAAATGGCGCTTAAGTGCTAGAAATTCTGATGGGTTTTCATAGTTAGTGCAGACTTCACATTTTTAAAGAACAAAATCAATCTCTCTTGCACGTACGCCCACACACGCCCTCTGCAACTGTTGTATGAATTGAAGCATAATTGGAAAGCAGATCCAATATTAAAGGCCAGGCTGGTAAATACCATGTTGTATCAAGCTGAGCTGTATCAAAAACCTGTTCAAAAAATAAAAGATCTGAATATTGTTTAGAATATCACTTATTTTGCTTCCTTGAAACTTTGCATTATGATGTTCTGGGTTATTTCTACGCACAAAAACTAAGAAAGAGCTACTAATCACACTGTTTTCTGAATTCAAATGAGTTAAATTTTATTGCCACTGCGCGAGAAATCTCCCACTCAGCAAGGAAGGACACTGACATGCTCCAAAAAGTGTGGAGGTCATCAGCCTGCATAAGGGGAAAGCACTGGTTATTCTGTGGCATCAGTCTGCTGTTCCGTGTGACCCTGCAGCCGACCTCTCGCTGCCCGAGACTCACGGGACGGCTGCTGGTTTTCTATCTGGGTCAGTTGTGCCTCACCCCCCCCCCCCCCTCCCTTTTTCTGATACTTGTCACCCAGTTGCAGCCAGACACATGACTCTCACAGCCACCGACTGCGCTCAGTTGCCTCCCTCCATAGGATGAAAGCTGGAAATAAATGTGTCAAGTTGCAGCCCTTGGAAGAGGGCAGGTTTCTGTACCTTACGATAAGGTCATTCTCTCATAACCTCCTTTACAGACAGAAAATCATATTCTATAAACCTTCTTTTATGTCTGTAATGTGAAACACAGACAGTACTCTGTCTGTAACCTTTCCAATAAAAATAGGTTAGACATACTAATAGCAATTTTGCAGTTTCTCTGTTTATTCCACTAGTAACCTAAGCTCCTGAACACTTCTACAACCAATGTAGAAACCTGTATCCGTATCAACTATTTCAACCTCGGGCTCAAAAGCCACTGGGAAAACTACGGTGCTCTCATAGTGCTCCAAACTCTGGAGCACTCACCCGCGTATTTGAGATGTTACGCTATAGCCAATCTTTATTTTTATATCGTTTATAGTAGCACTTGGATTTTATTTGGCAGTGCCGCTTAATAAAATCCTGAACTGCTGCTGGTTTCCAGATGTAGGGCTGTCTCTTTAAAACTTATATTGATGGGGGCTGTCATTTAAGGAATTCACCACAATCAACTTACAATTATATGTTTACTGTGGTAAAAGCTGAAACATTAAGCTTACCGCTCCTATTTTTAAAAGCTACCTTAAAACAACAGGATTATTTTACCACTCCTATTATTCCTCTGTTGTTTTTCTAAACAAACCTATTTTCTTTTTGTATTTTTGAAAAGGCACTTTTTACATCTTAGTGTGCTGCGCAGCATAATTATTTTGTCACTCTGTTGCATACAGTAAAGTTATCTCCAGTTTGAGCTCCACACTGAGGAAAAAGGGAAAAGGCTACAGTACACCAGTAATTAAAAATGCGTTTGGGAAAGCAGAATCCAACCTCGCTCAACCTGAAACCACAGTGGGCTGCTGCTCCTCGCCCCGGCTCCCTGGCATACCCACCAGCTCACAGCCACGTTCTGCCCCACAGGCTTTAGCTGCAGGGTTTAAAGTTGGCTAAAACGGCTGGTCATTGCCACCAAGAACAATAAAAATCTCTTTATGACCTCCTCGTGCTCCCCAGCCCCTGAACAAGAAGCATTACTCAAAATGAGTAATTCGAAATGGGACAGAGAAAAGCCACTATCCTGCAAAATCACAGCACGTGTTTAGTAAGAAGTCAGCAAGGCTACTCCCAGCGCTGAATGCAAGGTCAGGGTCTCAGGAGAGCAAATAAGGAAAAAAGGTTATTTTTGGAAAGTTCTGGAAAATTAGGAGGTGTAAGAATCTTTCATCTTTACAGAACTTTACTAACATTGTCTACCTAATACTTTGTTTGTTATTAAGTCCTTCTCATGATAGGAAGTTTTATTTGCTTTAGTATTTCTTGTAATTCTGTGACACTTCACAAAGCAACTTCTACATTCAGCCTGAAATATTTCAGTATAAAAACAGGGGTCATTAATTCAGCAGAACTGTATCAGTGTAACTAAAATGTATTTTACAAGAACAGTATTCTTCCGCCTTCTACATCTCTGGTGAATTAGTACAATCAACACTCATTTTCCATACAAATGGTGTATGGGGTGAAAAGCATTCACATCACCTCGCAGAACGTTTACACCAACCAGGTAACACAGCAATATTAAATGAATAAGCCAACAACAGACGAGCTGCTATTTTATGTGAAAACTAGCAAACACGGTGCAATTTTTGGTGTGTGTTGCTGTGCAACGATGTAACTCAAGACACGGCAATGAAGACGGTGCTGTGAGATGCTTGTACTGCTATTTATAAAGGCAAAGCTCACCCCTTCTTCCCCTCCTGCCATTCTCAATCTTACACTCACTTCCTTCCCCCAAATTTATTCAAAATATATGCTGAAAAATAACACCACCTCAAACTGCCTGATAGCAAATCTGTACTCTGGCAGGCTTTATCCTGCAGTGCATTTCTGCTTTTCCAGAGATGGCTCTTGGAATCAAAGACGGGGAACTGGCTACAAGAACCCACCCCCCAGCGTACCAATTTTACATATATATAGTATTTTCTGCTCTGGGGAAAAAATGAGCTACGTCCGTTATCTTTGAGAAACACAAGCCATTTCCTTCACTTGTCTTCAAATTCGGAAAATCTGTAAGCGTTATAAAGAGTAACAGCTCCTGCATTCTGAGCCAAAACACTTATTTCTTGTATTCAAGCATTTTGAATATTGACATGGTTTGTAAAGTGTATTTTTGACAAAATAGCTAAGAAGTGAGATCTCCATAAAACTACTTTGAGTTTCTTAGTCCTACTACTGTTGAATTTTAGAAGCATTAAGAAATTTCTGTACTTGGTAACTTTTCTTTTTAACAGTGGCATTTCTCTGAACTTATAAAAACAGAAAACCATCCCGAACATTACAAAATACTCCTAATAACAATTTAAAAAAACCACATGCATGCAGTCACACACAAATTATTTTCTCTATGCACAAAATAAACAACAGTATAAATAAGGCTGTGCATAAACATCCCGTCTTCAACCTGGTTTTGGTAGCGTGAGAAAACCCAGTTGCTGCAGAGCAAGTGGAAAGTTCAGTAACGCGGGTGCGGGCAGGGGCAGGCGGAGGCCGGGGCTCCTCCCCACCAGCCCCCCAGTTTTACTGGGGTGCGTGGTCAGGCTGGAGCCACTCTGCCGTCCTCGACCGTAGCCGTGTGTGGAGAGAAAAACCGGCTCAGGTAATTCGTGGGAAGTCACTTGCTGGGGAGGAACAGGGAAAGGGAGAGAAAAGTTGTTCTGGTCTTTCAATTCCTTAAGTAATTTATTCTCTTTCTTTCAGCTCATTTATCCTTGTGACTTCAGGACAGGAGTTGCTGTTACACCAATCTAATCTGATTTTTACATAAATAGAGTGCATCCCGCCATGCATCTTTTAAAGATGGGATGTCTTCTCCTACATGAGATCTCAAGAGATGAGGGATTAATACAAATACTGATATGCAATTCCTCGCTAAAGTAAGATTCAAGGTTCAATTTTTGATGCTTCATCTGTATGGAATTGAAACTTTTTAGCCCTCAACTAATAGCAGACAGAAAAATTACTTTCTCTCTGGCAAAGTGAATGTGTCATACTTCTCATGTCTCTAACGAACTTCAAATGCTTTTGAAACCCTTTACAGCACTGATTCTAGGAGACAGCAAAAACCGATGGTAATATTTCAGTCATGGTCTTACTGATTCATTTAATGAAAATATAATCCCACTCTTATTATATATCCCTGCTCCTCCCTCCATCAATCATTTCACCTTTCTAGCTGCAGCATGGGGCAACAGCATTTAACTAACAGGTGACCTTCCTTTTCAGAATAACTGCTTCCCAGTACACAGCCCTCTGTTCTGTAAAACCAGTAGCATTCCTTGTATTGCTGTAATAAAATCCAAGTTGTATTGATTATGCCCCCTTTTCCCAAATAGCTTTATATTAATGCTTCTCCTTCATTGTTTATCTTTCCATCATTTCCATTAGAGTCTACATACTTTAATCATTTAGTCCTATCTCTTCCCAAATAATTAAGTATAAATTTACAAAACTACCTGAGCTCTATTTTCACAACCTTCTACCTTTGCAGTATCTTACCCCGCAAAATTAGAATTTGCATGAAAATTGTTTCATCATGAGAACCACAGCGACTGTCACTCCCATGTGAGGGCAAGAATTACTTTCCAGCTAGGAAGTAATTTTAATCACCTGCTGCATTCTGCCGTGATGAACAATGTTAGCTATTATCTTTCAATAATTTAATATCTCATTTTATGTAACTCTGATACAAGTAAGGTATAGCAAGGTCA